GATCGAAAGATAATCTTTCTCTCCCCGTTGACTTCAATACATACTTTTTCCGAAATAAGGTCCCATGGGTTGGAAGTAGATGGGCGGGACTTCGCCTCTCTATAATAAAGTGTATGCTAACTTATATAATAAAACATGATAAATGATTAGTTCATAATAGTTTGTGTTAAGTAAATGAAGTGGAGTAAAAACTGTTCTTAAGAATATTACTCATAGTACTAAATGTAGTACTTTCCACCACTGCTGATGATGAGCTCTCAATAACTCCATCAGTAGGTGGCGGTATAGAGCCACACACAGTAAAGGGATTTACAGCACATAGTAGTCCTGTCAGCCATTATATATCATCCATCGTTTTTATTATCACCCTGAATTTCATCTATATGAATATAATACAGCTTGGTTTATATGTTGAGGAATAAAACATAGCTCAACCCACCTGGAAGAGGCTTTTTTTCACTTGGTACGTTGGACATATTTTCTCAAAGACATTCAGAATAATCTAAGTCCATTTACTTCTTGGTTATGTCATTTAGTATACTTTTGAGGTACTTGTGCCTTAACTGAGTCTTTTATTTTTATGCCACTTTTTAATTCTATTACATACATTTCTGAGGGAAATAATGTACTTTTCAGTTTACTAGAGATATGTTACTAGAGCTTTTTTTTACTTGAAAGTTACTGTTGTGCTTTTGGGGGTTTTCCCTTTCCTGTAGTGTGTTCTAGGTTTTGGTGCATGTAAATGGTCTGCAAAGGATAAAATCCCAGAGGGAGTTTCTCTCCACACATTCTTTGAGATCTCTGCGCCTGATCGAACAAAACAAACGTGGGGAAAAGGCCCTGGTTTACATGGGTTATTGTAACAGCTCTTCTCACAGTTTTTTTAGAAACCAAACAATGCAACAACAACAAAAAAGGAAAAAATGATTTGCAGAATAATACAGAATCAAAAATGGTTATTAGTTTCCGTCCAATACAATATATTTAGTCAGAAATCCAATGATATAACAGACAGTCAAACAGAGGAGAAAGATATCCACCTTTTATTTTTCATATCTTAGTACATTTCCTGATTAGTTTACTTTCAATTAACAATTTCCATACATAACTTTTATTAGTTACACAGTGTCATTTTACAACCTCCCTTTACTTAAATAAAATATCTGAATACTTCCTCCACCAACAGAAGCATTCATGATGTATTCAGTTTCCATTCTCCCCTGTACATCTGAAGCACATTTCCAAACATGAAGTCATCCTGGGCCAACAGCTCTCCATGTGTTTTTCTCTGTCCAGCTCTACTTTGTTAATCCTGCTTGTTGTCACCTCTGACCCCTCGATGGCCTCTTATGTAAGTAGCAGGTTAAGAAAAGCATACGGGAGCAGCCCGTGGTGTATTGCCAGGTTAGGTAAGCTCATTATCAGTTGCCCCTGGATGCCCAACAACAGCTACAAATAAACCGCAGTAGTGGGGAAAGTAAATCAAGGAAGTGATGACACCAGATGAAGGTGTTAGTTTCCTAAATAGTCTGGATTTCCGGGTTTAGAGCATATCTGACTCGACCTACTCAAGGGCATTAAGGCTTATTCTCTCTATGCATACAAACAATATCAAGTAACCTACAGAGGTGTGTTTGGGTCTGATTACACACTGACACTATACCTCACTGACATACAATAGTCACGGGACAGAAACATACCATGTGTAAGGTTACAATTAGCATCAGGGTTTTTATTATGTGTTCATCTTTGAAAACAACATGACCTCCACAGCAGAAACATCCACCCCCAACACTAATACATACACACACGCACACCATGGTACTATCCTCTAACTGCCTTCCCCCATCTGTCCATCCCCTATCAGTGAGGCTGAGTCACTCTGCTCCAATAAGCAGCTATCAAAGCAGCCATACCATAGCTTTTACTAAAACGTCAATTTTTTCTACCAAAGTGTAACACAGTATCACATGTAGGAAATGTTTGTCCTCTGCCACCCTGTCTTTCTCCCGGGCGAAAATGTGAGTCATGATTACAGCTGACAGTGTGTTCTCTGCGGTGGTAGACACACTGTCGTCCTCCAGTGTGACACACATTTCTAACAATACAAACAAACTCCCAATTTGCAGTTACATGGCAGTTAATAAAGAGTGGTGCAGGAAAAAGTCCTGACCCTGGAAACTAGTTAGCATATTAGCACATATTAGCAACTCAGCACTTTTGTCTCAAAAACAAGTTTTGAGATTTTCACGTTTTGTTCTACGGATTGAATACGCAAGGAAATACCACACTTAGAAATACCAACACTTTTAGGTGTTTTAAAAACAGAGTTTGCTAACTAGTGGCTAAATGACACAACTAAAAGTCATTGCGCCAAACATAGAGAGTGAAGCCATGCATTATTTAGTTAATTAATAGCCTAACATTAGACTATTATAAAAGTATACTTGTTAATATGTGGAGATTATCCTTCTCAACAAAACATCTAAGTGTCATGAACGTGTGCTTTTCACATATCTTTTTTTCTGCAATATTCTGAAATCCAATGGAAAATCCCATTGCTTTCTTTCATGGCAGCCCTTGCAATGCTAACTTCCGGGAAGACTAGTTAGCATCACACAGATTGTTGCTGGAAATGAAGTGTTAGGTAAATATGATACTCACACATTCTATTCAGCAAGATAATCTGCAAACCACATTTTCCTGATCCATCAGCTAAAGCACTGTGTCTGTATTTGGACTGCATCCACTCTAATGTATCCAATATAAGACTTGGCCCCTTCCACTGGGCATTCTTGCTCATCCTTGGTTCCCGTATCCTGGAGGCAACCCGTAGGCTCAACTGTCGCTCTTATCTTCTTCTCCATTTATTTTCCCTATTTAACCCTACTGTTCAAAAAGATGTCTCTTTTGATTAGTATGTTGTTTCTAATTTCATCTCTCTTTAAAGCCCCTAAATATGTCAAGTCTTAAGTATGTTATCAAATATTCGTGCATGGATAAGCTACAGTAAAAGCAATTATTAGCTATCAGCTAAAGCTACGATTATTCATTAAGAGTTTAACACTTAAAATCCAGAATAACAAGCTACTCCAGTAGGAGTAGTTTGATCAAATCTGCAGCAACTGTTATCCCATTCTGAATGAATGATTTCTATATCATGATTGGTTAATAGACGTGCGCGATGTCACCATGACGAAAAACAAGTTTGCTTAAAATTTGGCAGAAACTAGGCGTCTCTACACAGTTCCTGTGGAAACGTTTAATTTAGTTGAAACTGATTGAGAGAAATATTTATCTTTTGGGCCTTTTAGTACAATAGAGGGAAAAGTTGACTGATTTGAGTCAAGCTGCATTCACATGATACGCGGTAACACAAGTCTGCGCTGACATTGCCGTTGTGTTTTCATGGAGAATGCAGTAACGCCCGACTCGTCGTAAGCACTAGCCTCGGCATCGCTCGAAAATTGTCGCTGAGCGCTGCAACGAAATTATTTCAACTTTGACCTTGACACCGCTGAGCCTCCGACGCGCAACAAATCAGATGTATGTAGCGGCGCAAGCTAGCAGCGGACGAAACAATATAAACAAACTCAACTATCTGTTTTCACTACAAGACCCTGAGCTTTTTATTTTACTATATGCTCATGTGCATTAATATTCATTGTTGGTTGCATGAACACAGTGATTTCAATAGTACTAGTAGTAGTCTGAAACTCCAGAGGGGTACTTTCAAAACTTGGACACCTTTTCCCCTTTATGTTGAACCATTTACAATATACATCTGTTGAATTTGCATGTACGTTTGACTGACTTCATTTAGCTCCAGACAATAATTTTGCTTGTTATCTTTGCTGTCAATTGCTTTATATTCTGGTATCACTCAAAGACTTCTCTTTTCAACACTCAAACCAAGCCAAACCATTACAAAACTCCCTTCCCTAAGAAACCCAAGGCCTTTTTATCAGGGCTTTTAACTGTCGCTCTCTCAAGGACAGAATCATGTGGTTAACCAACCCCAAAAAACATGAAATAATCTTTCCTCTTCAGTTATATATTTTTTTCAGTCTATTCATGATTTCAACAAAGGACTTAAGGAGACTTAAGGGTTTCGACGACAGCGCCTGACCTCTTATTTTTATCCTTTTATGTCTGTGGTTGAGTCATGCCTTTTTCAAAAAGATATCTCTGCTGCTCTCTGTCCTGGATATATAATAGGGGACCAAGAAGTGCTACGCTCGATTCAAGTTACAAGTAAAAGTCTTGCAACATCTTACTTAAGTAGAAGTGCATAAGTATTGGCATCAAAATAAACTCATATAACAAACGTTTAATAAATCGTTATGGTAAAAGTCTGAAGTAGCATAAAATAAAAATATAAAAATACTCAGGTAAAGTACGAATAGCTGAAAATTGTACTTAAGTACAGTACTTGAGTTACTTTGAGGTAAATGTACTATTAAATTCCACCATTAATGTGTATAAAATAATAATAAATAATTAATATCATATCATATAAAAAATATAATGAATAAAATAATATAAAGAAGTAATAAAGGGCATACAAAATATAACATATAATTATACAAAAATAAATGTTTAGCTTACATATGAATATATAACATCAAATATATAATATTAAAAATATATATATATACGCTTATATGAAAAGGGGATGAATCACACTGAGACATTTAGACACACTGATTAAAATGTAGGAAATGTTCCAATTCTTATTTTCTTTCCATGCATCCCATTTCGTGTGACCTTGTATAATATGTATGCAGATGGCTGTGGAGTGTCTGCTCAAGGCAAGCCGAGAGGTGCTGAGGGGACAGCGGCCATGTGACCGTGGCTGCAGGGATTGGCTTAGTGCAGATGTGACATCAGCAAGCCTCCCACTCCCTCCCTCCCTCCCTCCCCTCTCTCTCCGCCTCTCTCTCTCTGTACCGCTCTGCTTTTTCCCCCTCCCCTCCTTCTCCTTTCCTCAGCATCCCCCCTCTCAGAGATGGCGTGTGTCGGTGCTGCTCGGGCGGCCGGGGCCTAACGTGCACTCAGAGAGGACGCCCCCTCCCCATCCCCCGATTTGCTGCATATTCCTCGGGTGTCTCCTCTCGCCGTGTCCTCCACCGCCGCCACTGCTGCTTCTGCTCTTCCAAAGCTCTTTACCACCCCACCTCCCTGTGCGGGTGTCTGGGAGTCGGGGGCCCTCGGGGGTGGAGGGGAATCGTGCTTCGCTGGGGGAGCTGTGCGGAATTAGCTATGCCCTACCCGAGCATCCTTTGACCGGCTGGATTTCTCCATTTCTGCGCACCAGGGGGGGGCGCCACGTAGGATGAAAAGCAGCAGTCATGATGCAAGGTAAATCATCAGTGCTCCTGCTCCTTTTATTCCCCATGGTTTCTTTTGCGTCCTCCTCCTGCCCTCTCGTGTCCCTGCTGGGGCCGTTAAAGCTCCTGAATCCCGGTGATGAGATCCGTCGTACCATGAGGACCTTTGAGCCGAGCTGCATGCATGACCGGTGTGACAATGTCAGTGTGGGAGCGTGGCGTTGTTAGTGACACATTAGGAGAAAATGCAGGTGATAGCAGAGGTGTGGATTTGTAAAGGAAGAGCAGTGTAGCCCTGCCTTGCTAATATCCTGCTGTGTGTGTTTACACGTGTGTGTGTGTGTGTGTGTGTGTGTGTGTGTGTGTGTGTGTGTGTGTGTGTGTGTGTGTGTGTGCTCCCTTTAGTTACACACTTAGTCATACAAATACATGTTTCAAAAGAACAGGAAGCGGCACTCATTCAAACCTCTGCTGCTATCAGAGCTTAATATAATATTCCAATCAATGCCTTAAACCATACCTTTCTTTAGTGCTCATGTTGCATTAAATAAAGTTACAGCTGCTGTTGCAAAGTAAACAGTAGTGGAATAAACTCGGATGGAGGAGCTGAATCATTTATCCAACCCTCCATGACAGATGCTGGGCCCTTACCATCCATTAATGCCAACATGGTAATAGAAGTTGGCTATTATTAGCAAAAAGGCCTGCAGTCAGCCTGCCATGATATAGTACTCAGTTCTTGAGCTATACAACAGCACACGTGTCACATGCTCATCTTAGCCCTCGTTAGCTGCGTGGCTAAGTCCACTGTGTACAGTAGGCTGTCAGGTGTACTTAGTGGTGTTATCTGGACGCAGACATGGAGTGTGCAGAAGGCTACATGACAACTGTTTTGTTTATGCAGCATATTATAGAACAGCTACATTATTTTAAACATACTCTGAACAAGCCTTATAATGTTAGACTACATAGTGTAAAAAAAGGGATGTTAGTCTTTGATCAAGCTTGTGCAAATGACCTTGTTTGGAACTGTTTACACTACAGTGGTTTGACATTGATTCCATAATGCTTTTTTTTAAATTGTAAAATTGTTATGTTCTTTACACTAATGGCTCCCCTGCCCCGTGGTTGGTTTTGTTCTTAACCGACTAAAAGAGATTTCTTGAATAGATTCAGAATTTTTTTTACACCATTTTTATGACGTATTAAATATAAAAACCTATTAGGACATATTTGGCAAACACAGATTTAAGGTGATACTTTTGCATGGATCTGTTTGTAACTATTGTATATAATGTTCAACAGATCTAGTCAATTTAATCAATTAAGTGGCAGAATCGAGGTTATTATTTTAGTGGAGGACGGTACAAATGTTGTCCATTTAACCGAGCATGGCATTGTTTCCAATCTATTCAGGCTGCCTCTTGATGCAGTTAATACCAGGACTGTATGAAAATCAACTTGTCAAAAAAGTGCAGCCTTATCGATAGGTGATCCATTCCAGGCAACACTATAAAAGGAAATTGATCATCCGACCACACTGTAAAGACAACTAATTGGACTGAAAACCAAGACATCATCATGTGTAATATGAATGATATTACATGTATTAATTGGTATAAGATATCAGTAGGTGGTGGTGCCACTTGTTGTTTTGCCAACTGCAAAATAAGTGGCTTATTCTAAAATGTAACACTAAGGATACACAATGATTTTGGCAAGTCATTGGCATCAATTGGAATTGGTTGTCATTTCCGATATCTGCACAAATCCTATATCCTACATCCCTATTTCAAAATATCCAACAATTATTAAAATAAAGGTCCAAACAGATAATAAAACCTTCCCCATTTCTAGGTGTACCTTTAAACAAGTTAAGTTACGTTTCCTTGGGATTGTTTGGAACTAGTTTTTCCCAACCTTGGTTGATTGGTTTTGTCTTTCCTCCGTAATTCAAAAATATTTCTATATGACTGGTAACTGAGGCATAGTGTTGTTTGGCTGTCAGTGTTGCTATAGCAGAGGAAGGTGTGTAAAGAATGTTCACACCTATGCACAACTGAACAACCAGTATCAATAACGTACATCTTCCCACGCTGGTTTGTTCAGATATGTTTTGAGACTCCATTATCAGAGATTTAGTAGTCCGCTGCTGACAGTCAGAGAATTTAACTTTAAGTATAATTTATTACCTTAAGATTGCCTTAAGTCCAAATCCACATGGAGCTCTCAGTCTAATCTAGTAGCCTTCATCTGCACACACTGTTTGTACTCCATCTATTGATAAAGGCCACCAGATGCAGCTGAATGCTCTTGAAGAAATTGACTTCCTCTGGAGCCTTCTGCCAATAAATACTACAAGATAATGCTAAGAGAAATCTAGACCCTTGATACATTTTTCTCAAAGCAAGAAAGTTGGAGGTCATGAAAATGATTTCAGTTTTGTAGCAAGGCTTTTGGGAAACCAACAGATGTTTTAGAGACAGTGTGCAGTGTCAGTTTTGGATGAAATAATTCGCTTTTTTCATGATGTTCGGGTTTCCCTGATACATTTGAACATTCACCAAAAGTGTACTTGAGGTTTACCATATGAAGAAGAATTTTATGCCAAAGTGAAAGTGATGGGAGTATATGTACGGAAGATTATTAGGGACAGACATACAGGGCTGAAACGAGAGGAGGAGGACATTCTTGACAATTGAACATTATTCTCAGAAAGAAAATAAGATAAAGGTCCTTCACCTCTCAAAATGTCGGCCTTCAAATTTGGGAAGTTTTTAGCAATTTTCTGAAAGCATAGAGGCATGCATTTGAAACTCTAATGTGAAAATCAAATGATGTTAAAATTGTAAAAATATAGTAATATCATTACCTCATTCTTTAGTAAAAAAGCACCAATCTCAAGTATGTGCCAAAATAACAACAACATATTCTAGATCTTACCAAAAATATTGCCCAACTTGTCTCGCAGTATTAGCACAAATAAGACCCAAACTGAACTACAGCTAATATCCTTAGTTACACTGTTTAATGAGAGTTGTAGGGCTCTCCTCAGGCACACTTGGCTTCTAAAAGCAGCAGTTTGCTTTTTCTCTCCCAGTATGTTTACTATTCTTTTAGCAAGTTTGTCACATTCAGCTTGAATCTCTATGTTGACTCCTTATCACACAACACACGTGCAGGTTAGGAGTGGACAGAAGGCTGGCTGTTCAGAGCTTTCTCCACTGATAAAGGTCGTGATGCAGGAGTAATCCGTGCTATTGAGCAGCCCGGCTAGCTGCTAATACATCACAGGTCCTGACACGTCCTTCAGTACACTGGAGAGCTTCCTCCCAAGTGAATGGTACTGAGCACCAGTCTTCCCTTTTATAGAATGTATTCTTATCAGTGTGTGTGCTGACTCAATATTTATTAGATTTCCAATTCAGTTTGATTTACTTTTCAGTACAGGACTACATATTGGAAAAATAAATGAGCAATCATGTATTCTTGTTTTCAAAAACAGCCCACAGGCGGCCTCTGAATAGCACAAAATGTTCACCACCCAACTGTCTGTCACACGTGTCCCTGTTGCTCTTGTATGGATGTGAGAACCAACTGTGCTCTCTTGTAAGAAACATGTTCCACACCGAGCCAATGCATAAAGAAGAGAGAATACAACTCAGATTATTTTTATTTTCTTGCAGTGTTTTATACTTCAGATCAACTGTCTTTTTGTTATTTAAGGTGTCAGACGAGTACATGTTTAATACAATCATATTTATTTTGACATTCTTAACTTAAGAGAATCAGGAATATTCTCACTTAGAACAACTCGGCTTGTTAGCCTTCTTAGCCTCTGTTGTTTGTGTATCCACAGAGCAGGACAAACAAACAAACAAACAAACACTGAGTAGCCATTCAGCTCTATTTGACAGAGAATTCTACAACTCTCAGACCTTTTTGAATCATCAATGTCAAATGGTGTCAATGTCTAATCATCTGCTTATTTTAGCTACACTAGTCAAAATGGAAATGCCTCTGTCTATGCTCAGTTGGTCTTTCAGTCCATCACCATGGTCCAGACTGAAAATATATAAATTATTATTAGGAAGATTTCCATAAAAAAATATACAGACATTTGTGATGTCCAGAGAATAAATCATTCATCCCTTTTACTATTCATCTAATGCAGGGCTTCTCAAACTCCGGACCAAGATCCGGATCCGGACCGAACTGCAAATCAATCCGGAATGAACCCTGTGTCACATTATAAAAAAATATATATATATATATATTTAAAAATTTAAAAAAAATCTGATTCTGATGTAAATTAAAGTGGACCTATCATGCTATATTGGAAAAAATATATTGTAGGGCCATACCTATACAAATATAGGTCTGTGAAGTTTTTTGCTTAAAATACCAAACAGTTCACCCATTTTAGCCATGCCTCATACTGCTCATACCCCTCTTGTGCAGCCCTGTTAGAGAAACGCGGATTTTGGGTCCTTAGCTTGGAAAAAAAAGAGGAGGCGGAGCTAATGCCTGATCAGAATTCTACCGGAGATAAAGTTAAATTCTGTTGTAATAAAACGGCATCTTGTTCTTATCCACATCAAGGATTATTTCTGAAACAGTATGGATCTCAAATGCTTTTTCTCTTGCGGGTTTATCACAAGGTGAGTTCCTTTTTTGATTTCCTGCTTTTTAAACACATGTGCTCTGCAGTACAGGTTAGCTCTGAGTGTTAGCGAGGCTTGCTAATGTAAACAAAGACGAGATTTCGTCCAAAACACGTTCAAAACGCGTCAGGCATTGTTTCTGATAGCAATTTTCTGTGGGTCCGCTGCCGATTTGACGTCAGATTGGCAGCAAATCTGTATCCGCCTCTTGTACACCTGTTTTTAAAAGATTTGGGTACGGAGGAAAAGAGAGCGGGTTTTATTTTCTGACACTGCGTGAGTTCCCCGACGCACCGGGGACACATATTTATGTATAAAAGACAACACAAAGTGCATTTTGCATGATAGGTCCCCTTTAATGTATATTGTCTTGTATCTGACGCATTCTGAGAATGAACGTGCATATATTTACTTGTGTGCGCGAGCGTGACACGCATTTAAGTTAACCACAAGTTTACCTTGACTTTCTAATGCTTCTAATGCCATTTTTGCCGAGGTTCAAGGCATTGGCTACAGACAAACAGTGCCATTTCTCCGACTAGTTCAAGCCATGATACTGTATGTATGTATGTATTGAATGTCTGTGTGTATACAGGGGCGCTGTTTACCGACAGGCAAGTGCTTGGACCAGAAGGGGGCTAAGGTAGATTAAACCAATCCAACTTTATTTATATAGCACTTTAAAACCTCCTGACCAAAGTACATGCATAGCACGCCGTTTAATTCGTTGCTCCGCTCCGGGGGGGGGGGGGGGGGGGGGACACTTTACTGGCATTGATCCGGACCATTGACCTTGTATAAAATTCGCAAGTGGACCTTTAACAAAAAAGTTTGAGTACCCCTGATCTAATGTATCTACCTTCAGCTAAGCTTTATTAGGCCTACAATTCAAATGTTAACATGCTAACACATTAGCAAAAACATTCATAAAGACATGGTTCACATCTGTAGGTTAGCTTGTTAACATGCTACACTTGTACCACAAAAATACATAGTAGATGTCTGGATGTTATCATGCTAACACGATAAACTATTACTATTACATCAATGCATGCCAGCAGACGCCTATATTAGCATGCTAACACATTAAAGTAATACATCAACAATGCATGCTAAATATCAGTGTGAAGCATGCTAACACACTAAAGTAATTCAACAACAATATAAACATCAGCATGTGAGCATGCTTGGTTAAATAATCTGAAAGTTTGCATGCTAACTCGCTTCAACTAGTTACTGATTTACATCAAATGTATCTATACTCTTTTAAAATGTAAATATTGTTGCAGACTAAAATCACAAAATAAATCAGCTTAAGAGATATTCAAATGTTTTTGTCAGACATAAAACATGTAAGTACCACTGACCGGTGTTAACCTAATTTCAGAGGTGCAGTGCATGTGTGACATAGGTTGGTCATTGACACCACAAACCAGCGTCAAAAACACAGATGAACTATTCGACTACAATTCTACATAGAAATACCTTGTTCTGCAGAGATCTTCATGCTCTGCACATGTTGAATGATTACTTGTCTGTTGTCCCAGCCGTCCTGACTCGCTGCATAGTGCCAACCGTCTGTGCTGCAGGGGTCTTGGCACCCAATTTGGCTGACTATGGCTGCTATAGTAGATCTTTCCCCCACTCTGCCTTTAATCTCGCTAATGAAGTGGACACATTGATCAATGTTTGTTTGTTTAATTCAGTCAGGGAGGGGACACTTTAGAGGATTACGTTTGCGCTGCTTCATTTTACATGAAGGCTTTCTCCAGATGATGTTTGTGTCCCGAATGGATTTGTTAATTTAAATCATCTTATTGTGGTTACTGTATTTCCTGCGTATCCAACAGGACAGAATCATCCTCACGTTACTCTACATCAGCCTGTTACCCTTTGGTGTTATTTACTTTTAAGTGCATTGTAATGACAAGACTATTAGCTTTATACACTGAACAAAAATATAAACGCAACACTTTTGTTTTTGCTCCCGTTTTGCACAGGTGTGCCTTAGGCTGGCCACAATAAAAGGCCACTCTGAAACGTGCAGTTTTGCTTTATTGGGGGGGTCTGGGGGGGTCCGAAAACCAGTCAGTATCTGGTGTGAGGGGTAGGGTTAGGGTTAGGGTTAGGGTTAGGGTAATGTTGTGAATCGAGTGGCCCATGGTGGTGGTGGGGTTATGGTATGGGCAGGCGTATGTTATGGACGACGAACACAGGCCATTCGATTCACAACATTACCCTAACCCTAACCCTAACCCTAACCCTAACCCTAATCCTACCCCTCACACCAGATACTGACTGGTTTTCGGACCCCCCCAGACCCCCCCGATAAAGCAAAAATGTACGTTTCAGAGTGGCCTTTTATTGTGGCCATTCTAAGGCACACCTGTGCAATAATCATGCTGTCTAATCAGCATCTTGATATGCCACACCTTCGAGGTGGGATGGATTATCTCGGCAAAGGAGAAGTGCTCACTATCACAGATTTTTTCAGATTTGTGAACAATATTTGAGAGAAATGGTTATTTTGTGTATATAGAAAATGTTTTAGATCTTTGAGTTCATCTCATGAAAAATGGGAGCAAAAACAAAAGTGTTGCGTTTATATTTTTGTTCAGTGTATATAAAGCTAATAGTATTTATATATATATATATATATATATATATATATATAGGCTCTAGAACAGTGTTTCTCAAACTTTTTCATACTAAGGACTACTTAACCGATGAAAAAACACTCGCGGACCACCTAACTCCACAAATATCCAAAATCACATCGTTTTTCTAGAGCAGATTACAAATCGCCTGAGAATGGTACAAACAAGTGGCAACATGTGTGATGAAGGTGTTGCGCTGGGCTATAGCGCAACATGAAACGTAAGCTCGCTCCATTGCGGAGATATTCCCGCGAGAGTGCGAAGAACTTACATTTATTTATTTATTTCAAATGTGAAATTTTACCAATATACACACTTTGAGAAACACTGCTCTAGAGCATTAATTTAATTCTTCATCATGTTGTTCTCCTTCTCTCTGCACTAGGACTCAAAAACAGAACCAGAAAAGCCCTGGGCTTAAAGAAGAAGGACAGGGATACGGATGGAACGTGAGTTTGTTCAGACACAACTAACAAGCCAAGTTCACAGCCGTCCAACTCTGAAAACAGAATTGGGATGAATAGGGCTGGGTATCAAAGCTCAATCATTTTACCGACTGAAATATGTCTCTACCATTGAGTATATAACTTTGCCAAATACAGAATGTTTTGTTGGATGTGTGCCTTTTTTGTATTCTCTAAAATAATATTTTTTTATATAATTCAAAATGTTGCCAATTTTAGTCAATTTTGTTAAGGCAAGGTTCTTGTACCGCTGTTTGTGTTTTGACAACATTCACATTTGAGACTATTTTTGTTAAATGAAAGAAAGGGATATTGTAGAATAACATGATTATATCTACGAAAGTATAATTAAATCATTGCCAAACCTAAAATATTATTTTCCTAAAATTGACTTTTTTGTCCTTTTGTCAAAACAGGAGTTCACCTGACAAAGAAGGAAGTGGAAGCGGGAAAAAAGGAAGTGTATGTACATTTCACATAGTTTTGTAGTTTGTTAGGTTCTTTTCTCTGTTAGTCTGTCTTCTTCTCAGTGCTTTTCAACAACAAAAACCATCCAAATACAAAAGTGATATTGTGATATACATACTATATCCATTGATTCAGTGTTTTACAATGCAACTGTTACTGCCTTTGGAGTATAACTTCCATGTATTACAACTTGCTTTACGTAGTTTTTGGCCACGGCACGACTACCAAGTCTGCCAAAGCACGAATCTTGAAAAGTCAGACAATCGAACATGTCATAAAAAGCCAACATTTAATTTGAACCACACTTTTTGAAAGTAAAAAGTTAGTAAATAAAGTAGGTAAGCACAATTGATTATTCACACGGACATGTTTATACTAACTTCTCTTTTCATTATTCTCTCTTTGGTCCATTTTGTAATTAGAAAAAAGCCAATGGAGCACCCAATGGTTTCTATGGGGAGATTGACTGGGACAGATATGTAAGTCTGCGCAGCTTCTCCTTTTTTTCAATATTTCTTACCAAGCACACTTGCAATCAGTGCCACATATCGTTAGGTTTGATATTACTGAGTAAACGTTGCAAATAGAGTGCTAGCTGCATATTCTGTGAGTCAGCAGGGGCTTCCAGCAAGACTTTTGTGAAATCTGACCCATATTTATATGCAGAGCTGTTCACAGGGAAGAGTTTAGCGACGCCTCTGTGACTGTACATCGTGTAACAGACTTTGTCCTCTCTCTTGTCCAGGCCTCTCCTGACGTGGACGACGAGGGCTTTAGCCTCCGGCCCGGGGACGAGGGCGATGATATCCTTTGAGGAGAGAAGAAGTAGTCCTGGGACTCTTCTCCTGCAAAACTATTGACCTGTTCTGCTGAGTGACTCTTTGGACGAGTACTTCGCTGTATTAAATAGGCCAAATCAATAGTCCTTCACTCTCTTGCCACATCACATGTGTATGTCCTTGCAGTTGCACAAAAAAAAAGAAAGAAGAAGGGCAGCCAGACTAGAGTTTTGGTTCTCTGCCCTGACCCCATTGGGGCCTACTTGGCCGCAAGTTTATTTTTTCTGTCATTAATAGGGAGTAATGTTATACCATCTCTATGGCAATGGCCTGTTAAATTGTTCTTACTGTGGAAAAGTGGCCTTTAAAAAAACAAAACAATATTCCTTTTGGGGGTTTTCCCTTTCTTGAAGTGTGTTATATAGGTTTGTATGCATGTAAATGGTCTGCAAAGGCTAAAATTCCAAAGTTACCTCCAGAGGGAGTTTCTCTCCCACACTTCCGTAACAAAGTGACATCACTTTGTAACAGTCTGCCGGCCAGCTAACCAATCAGAGCAGACTGGGCTCTGGTTTCAGAGCCCAGTCTGCTCTGATTGATTAGCTGGGTGAAAAGAGGTGCTGCAGCAAAGGCAGTATGAAAAAAAATTAAGGGCTTTTTTAACATTAAGGCATGGAAATATGTCACAGTAGAGTCAAAGACTACAAATATGAACCTGGACATTTGCATAATAGGGCCCCTTGAATCAGAACCTGCTGACATGGTTTAGATTCGGATGCTTGGACAGAAACTTTGCAGATTCATGTAAGGTCAGGCCAGATTTGTGTAGCCCCATCTTGGCTTTAATTGAGCACACAATCATCATTAAGATTGACCGCATGTTCACTGTTTCATCAATATTTTTTGCTCATGTAGGTGTCAGTGGCTTTTTGTTTGAAAAATAGTCTAAACATTTGCCCAAGAAGTATCGTTTGGAGTTTCATCAACAGCAGGTGTAATACAGTTAGTAACTGTGATACAGCAGACTGAGACACAGAGCATCGCACTCTCATTTGAAAAGAATATGCTATTTTTAAATTCTGTACAAGAGTGACTAAGCCTCCATCTGATGTTACTTTGTCCTTGACAAATGTTCACCAGCTTCCAGAGGAAAGCACTTTTTCTCCTCCAGCGACTCGGAGGACGATGAGGAGAACAAGAAGAAGTTCAAAATCAGGATCAAGCCGCTGGTGGCGGACAGTGCCAAGTGTGTCCCCTCGTCTATGGACGAGCTGAAAGCCTCGGTGGGGGGCCTGGCCCTCTCTCCGTCTCTGGTGAGCGCTGCTGATCAGAACCCTTGTTCTGCAACACAGCACTGAAGGTTCATGACGTGTAACAGCTGTTAAAGTCTGTATTTGTTTTGTCTTTTCTTCACTTTTTTGCTGTCGTCTTGTAGAAGAGAAGTCCGGTAAGTCTTTTTTTATTTATGTTTCACCAGCAACAGCAGTTGTATGGCATGAATTCACTTAAAAATGAGAACGTGATAATTCCCTTATAAACACTTTTTTTGGCCTAACACTTTTTTCTGCATGCAGTTTCTGTCTCACCATTTCTAATCCCTCAACTTCTTTTTGTTGACTTGGTTTCTGTTTCTGTTAAGCTACAGCTTTACTTGAACCTGAATGGCAAAGCGTTACATAATGCAGATTAAACATAACACCAGTGGTGGAAGTACATTTACTCAAGTACTGTTTTTACAAACTTGTACTTGAGTTTTTCAATCTATGCTACATTATACTTCTACTCCATTACATTTTGGAGGCAAACATTTCATTTTAACTCCGCTACATAAGTCACTTTGTATAAATATAAACACATGATAATGCTTTTATGATGCAATACTAATCCACCCAGTATTTTAAGAAGTAATTGGAAGTAATTTGGTTCAAAATTGACAAAGAACAAAGAATTTAAGATATTAAATACGGCGGCTGATTGGTGCAAACACGGCCAAAACATTTTCGCGAAACGATGCAATGATAAAAACACAAAAGTGCCAAAACACATGCAAATGAGGAAACATCTTCAACAACTTGATAACCCATGCGCAGCATTTAGAAAACATTCACCAACTTGACGAAATATGGGCAAGCTTTACTTAAAAAATATGTTGCAAAAAGCTCAAAACACAACGGAAACGGGGACATTAAAAAGTGATGCACCCGGCTGGAAGTGGAGCACTTGTTGATGTTCGTGGATTATAAAGTTGACCCACTGTCACTGTCACTGTAAACTTACCTAAAATTGTTAGTTTTATTCGTTTATTTTAACAATGTGATCGCGTGATTCTTGCAAACGTGCTGTAAGCTAAGTAGTTTACGTAGCTGACCTAGTCATTTCAAAGAAACTGACAAAACACTTACAGTTATGAAAAGACTAACTCTGCAACAGTGACAGTTGGCCGACTTTATAATCCCTGAACGTCAACAAGCACTCCGGTCCCAGCTGTGTGCATCACTTTTTAATGTCCCTGTTTCCGTTGTGTTTTGAGCTTTTTGCAGCGTTTTGTATTCGCAATGTTTCTCCTAATGGAAGTGTTTTGGGCCGTTGCAGCGCGTTTGCACCTGTCGGCCACCGCATGATATCGTCAAAAGAGCCATCCTGTGTACTGAGTACTTTACTTTTGATAGTAATCTAAGATGGTAGTATAGTATTTATACTTTTACTTAAATAAAAGCAAACAGATGGTATACGCTACTTAAGTAAAGGATTTGAGTTCTTCTTTCTCTACTGCATAAGAGACACCCACACATAGACCCATTGATTTGGAGCTAACATGCGGAGCAACTTGCTACATTAACCACTGTGCATGTCGGTCGTAAGTGATGCTGGTATTTTCCTCATAATCTCAAAGGGTGTTATGGCTCATGCTGCTGCATTATGAAAGCTTTGTGGTGCAAGTAAAGTGGTGCGATGTGTGTGTGCAGTTTTAGTTGGTGTCCATTTGACTGATTTGTCACTCACTCTCTGACCCAGGTCTGTTCTCTCTTCCTTTTTGCTGGTCTCAGAGACGCAGCCCGGTGAGTTTCTTTACACCCTCTGCTGGCTGTTTCAGAGCCAACATCCTGAAACACAGCTCTCTAATCTCTGCTGTCTAAATCAATCATTCAGTTATAAAGAGAACATTTGGTATATTAATCTGGACCCACTTTTCACATGTGTTGTGTCAATGTGCCCTTTTTGATTAGAGCGATTAGTAGATTGACAGATTTCTTTCATGCAAAAATGGCAGAAGAAGAGATTTCCTGCTTTTTTAATGATGTATATAATCCTAAACTCAATATCTTTCAAACGGTTTAGGATAAGGGTTTGTTTTTGTGTCTAAAAAAATCTCGCTCAAGGAAAAGTCCTTGTTCTGAAATGTCACATTGCCGAAAACAGCTAAATGTTTAGCCACAATATTATATAATATTATTTTTTAGATAACACTAATCTACACTTTTTGTACTCCAACACAATATGACAACACTGGCCTTCCAATAACAAGTCCTAATGACATACTAAATTTGACTCTTAGATTATATAATATAGTCCAGGTTGAAAGGTCTATTATTGTCCCTAAAACAAGTGAAATATGTAATGTTTTGTCTAGATCTCAGTTTTTTAAGATTGATAATGTTTCTTGATATGACTAAATTGACCTGCCTTATTTGAAAATATATATTTGTGCCTCAGAAGCTATCATACATAAATGTTTATGAATTTCCTCCTAATCTCACTTCTTTGTCACTTGTTTTAAGAAAATAAAACGTGTTATAATTGAATGGAAGAATGAAATGAGCTGTGACGTACTATTGTTTCTTATTTTACTTTTTGTTTGGATTCTATTTTTTACAGGGGCAGATGAAAAGGAATTTGTCCTGTAAGTACACCTACTGCTGACATATTTTGTTTACAAAAAGATGTATGAATGGGAGTGGAGAATGGGAATGAATCATGTTAACCATTTTAGCTTAGCGTGTTAGCATGCTAACATTTGCTCAAACTAATTGTTTTTAAAATGTTTTATCTTTATGGAATACAACACATTTACCAGAAATGTAAAAATGTTTTCAAAATCTTCATATAGTTGCTCCAAAAGCCAGGAAAGTTATTGTCTTTCTTTTGTCAATATACAGTAAGCTAGTCTCTCCAAAGCTAACATTTGCTAATTAGCAAAGTACAGCTAAGTGTAATGGAAATGCCAGTTTTGCACAAATAGAATTTTTCTATTTTCTTATAATATCTCCTGATGAAAAGTTACAATCACCCAAGTGATTGTAATATATGTATCAAATTTGGGGTCAATCCAGATATATTATATTCCAGTCCAGACTAAGGTGGTGGACGGACAAACAGACCAGCATGGCCATCCATCGAGCCAACCACAATTGCCAATTTGTATACATTTGATGTGATAATATTAAAAGTGCAAAGAGCAACAACTGAGTTTTTGTTGTGTTCCTGCAGGTGAAGAGATTGCCAGACCCAGACGCTCCACCCCAACACCAAGTCCCGCCCCCGAGACACCGAGGTCTGTCCTTATTTTAGCAATTTTGCCAACTGATTGGACTAGTACACTTATATTCAGTGTGTAATATGTTTTTGGTAAACTGTTGATATTTCAATTGTAAAGAGGTGAAATGTTTTTTGTGATTTTTCTCATTACAGTGACAGGCTCTCGCAGAACGTTCCTGCCTTCTTTGGCCCGCCTTCAGAGACCAGATATGCCAGATATGATGGTCTGTCCTTTATCCATATTAAGCCACATTCATTTATACTAACCAATTCACGTAGGAACTGCCAGTTAAATATGTGACATTTATTGTCTGTTTATGGTTATCCAATCACAGTGGTCCCTGCAGATGCGTGGGGAGAATCGAGACCGCACTCAGAATCCCCGCTGAGCAGAAGCTTCCCATCAGGAGGTGAGTCAGCTTTAAATACAACTCTGTTACCCTTTCTATAACTCTTATGTCTATAATGCATACTTGTTATGTGTTATAAGAATCGTATAGAGCTGTATAATCACAGAACATTGGACATGACTTTATAATGACTATATGTTATACAACTTAATAACTGCTGCTCAATCACTGACATTTTATATTTATTAGCTATTGTTTTTAATTCACAATAAGTGCTTTAATTAAAGCAAAAATATAATGAATACAATATAATCACATTAAAATGTATTATAACAGTGATTATAAGGCATTATACAAATATATTATAAGTCACAGTCACATGTGAATTATAATACACTGTTGCCCATACGGTTGGAATAAAACCATTTGTACACCTTCTCATGAAATGATTGTGACAATGTGATTTATTCTTGATAGATAAAGTGTATATCTTCTCAAAACTTTATTGATCAATCTCTTCCAAACATATCACAGTGAAAATTAAACCACAATTAAAAAGACGAATGTGTCTGAAAAATGAATTCTTCCAACTTTATGGGCAACAGTGTATATACTGTATCATGCTATTAAAAACAATGTTAGTGTGTGTCAGCAATTAGGCATCACCATTTTTTTATGATGATATTTGATCTTATAAGTTATTGTAAAACACCTTGTGTTTGATTATTAGCCTTAAGTTAATTGAAAATAATAATGATTATTTTAATTGAAGAATCTTATTTTTTTGCGACCAATGCCTTTATTAAACAGACAGAGTTGAACCAACACATGGGCTGCTAGCTCTACCAATTGAGCGATACGTTGGTCTTGATGTGTTCATTTCTGTCTATGTTGATATCTGAACGTCATGCTAAACTTGTCTGAACTTTCATCCCTGTTCAGCTCCTCCTCCGCTTCCTCCAAAAAACATTCCATCCAGAAGTCATTACGGCTATTCTTCGGACTCTGCTGGTAAATATAAAGCTTTCAATATAATTCATCCGGTAAATCCTTTCAAGTCTTTGATCTACTCTAAAGTCTACCTTTAACCCTTTGCAGCTGATCTACCCAATGGCAGGGCAGGTCGCAGTTCTGCCCCCATCTACCTGAACATGCTGTCCCCCGCCTCGTACCGCAGCCCCCCGGCCCCCGACCTGGACGACGTGTTCGGCCCGACGGACGGGACCCGCCCCAGCGAGGAAGCGATGTCTCCCAGATGGGTTACATTCACCAGCGACAGACCCCCGCCTCCAGATGAGCCTGCCCCCCCTCCGCCTCCGGACTCCCCCCCTCCGGACACGCCCTCGTCCACCCCCTCCACCCCTTGCCTCTCTCCAGGACCACCGCCAAACGAGCCCCCTCCTTCGCCTCCCCTCCTCTCTCCCGGGTCTCCTCCTCCTTTCACGCCGCCTGAATCCCCCCCCTCCATCATGCTCAGACCTCCACCCCCAGATGAGCCGGCCCCTCCCCTGCCTCCCGACTTCTCCCCCTCCACTTCGCCTACGATGTGTTTCGACGACGATGCGATCGACGAGGAGGTGCTGCAGTTTGCAGAGGCAATTTACTGTTCGTCCCCCGCCCCCACTAGCCCGGTGCCCCCTCTGCCAGCAGAGCGGAGGTCTCCTCGGACAGGAGTCATATCCCCGCTGGTCCTAGGGGGCTTTGGGGGGAAGAGGACTCCAGAGGGAGCGTACCTAAGGGATGATATCTCAGACTTTGTAGGTTCTCCCAGGGAGCTGACGCCGAGCTTCAGGGGCACGCCCCCCCCTCTTCCTCCTACCACCTACAGGTCTATCATGTCTTCCCCGGGACCCTCCTCAGGCAGCCGTGAGTACTCTTTCCACATCTTCACAGTGGGTCATGCAGCCTGCACACAAAGGGTGATGGTGTATTCAACCCTTAAATGAGCAAACACATTTATATTTTGGAAAACAAATGGATTTTTTGTAATGTATCTAGTCATTCATGATATCTTTCAAAATAGCTTTATTTTCTAACTTACCCTCTGTATCTCGTGAGATACATTGCACATTTTATACATTATTAAACCTATATTACACCTATATTACACCCACATTACACCATTAATACACAATATCACACCTATATTACTCATGGACAAAGCCTGTCAAATGAATGTTTTCCCCAGCAAAAAGAAACCATTTAAGGGTTACACTTTGGAGAGTGCTTGCGCCTGGATTCTGAGCGGAAATAGAAACGAATGCAGCCAACAGTGCTACATGTATACCTTGGCCAAAATCATTTAATGATTTCGTCAATTTTTTTGGCAAATGAATTACACTTAAAAAATTTAGGGAAGTAGAGAGACAGTGTCTTTAAAAAAAGTGTACTAAAAGAACAAAAACACTAATTCACAGCGAAAAAGTAAATAGATGAATGGTCGAAGCGAAATGTAAAGAAGTGAAAATTATTTGAGGTGCTGGATTATTTACACAACATTATCTTATGTGTATTATAAACCTGATATCAAAAGTTCACTCATTAAATTCAAACAAGATACACTTTTAGAGTCTGCGGTAATGTTCTGCCAAACTAAAAGTTGGATATAGTTTTAGTTTGGCAACAATTCAAAAAGTAAACCTGTCACTATTAACAAACAATTATATCCTGCTTGAATCACACATAACATGACTCCTTGCCACCACTGCGCTGCCTAATGTGTTTTCGGTGATATAGATCTGATTTCAATTTGGTCGTAATCTGAACCAGCTACAGAACAGCAGTCACCATTTGAGTTTACCATTTGTTTTTCTGTACATATAAATATGATTCATATCTTGATGCCTCCAAGTCAGTGAAAGCCAAGGCGTAATGATTTGGGTTGTTGTCCATCGCTCAATTCTTGTTAAGGAAGGCAATATCTCAGGAACCCCTGGAGATAATTTCTTTAACTTGGTCAACAAGTCTGCATGGACTCAAGGATAAACTAACTCAAATTTATATTTCCCTGTGATGGAGAATACATCTGCTATTTATGACAATTATACACACATCTCTAACAGGATAAAGTGCTGAAGTGAGGACATTTTGAACACACATTGGCGTAAACTGACATATGACACCATGATGTTATTATAGTCACTGGAAACATCATATGGCATGATTTAATTCTAAGTTACTTACTGACATCTAGTGGTATGAATATAGAGTAACAGCCTCTTTGTTCTTAACCCTTAGCATTAACTCTGGAAAACTACATACTTCTATCATTTCCCTTATCATAGATTGTGAAGCTGACCGTTGAGCGGCCCGACCAAGTAAGGAGGCAGAGAGTTCAAATATAACCCGGTGTGGGCATTTATTCCTCTTTGTGGTACAGGATACACAGCCTCAATATGACTGTCTCCCCTGAACACAGTCACCAGCCACAAGGACCTCACACACACACTGGTCGTTTCTCAATCTCGAGGATGCTGGCTTGGTAGTCGCGTACTTCCAAGTCACTTCCTTCAGAAACGAAGTAAGTATGCTTCCAAACCACGGCTTCGGAAAAGGAAGAAGAATGGAACAGACTAACAAGTGTGCCACTCTCTCTAACGGTTTCAACATAAACTGTACCGATAATATATACCTCACGATGTCTATCTAATTATGAACTTGCTTTACTTTCACGGAACACATTTTTGGTGATAACAAACAAATGTAACAAAGTAACATATTAACATATTTACAACACATGTTCTACGCCACTACATACTTACATTTAAATGTGTGCTGCGTCGGTTCAGCCATTCTCCGCAAGGGTTTTTGAAATTGGTCCGTGCGCAAAGCATTGTGGGGATTTTAAGGACGCGAAGTCTACCCATGTGCAGCCTCGAAATTACCCCCAAACCAAGGACGCAGCCTCGGTGGAATTCCAAGTATGCTGGAGATTGGAACAGTTCTTCGGCGGCACTCGATGACGTAGCATCCTTGAAATATTGGCTTGGAAGCCAGTTTCCTCGAGATTGAGAAACGGCCCCGAACAAGCAAACAGAACCTAAATACACACAGAATAATCAAACCAACAAGACACAGGTGAGGGGGGAGGAGACAACACAGGGCACCAGGTGACCACAATCACCAGTAACAGACAAGACGGGAGGGGGAACACTTTTGAAAATAAAACAGGAAACAGAGACAGACAAACTAAAACACCAACGAAGCTATACAATCCGTAACGGAGGCCGAGATCTATGGCCCAGAGATCACCTCTGTTACATAGATGCTAAACTATATTCTTAATTTAAGATACATAGGACATTGGTACACACACTTGACACTTGGGGGTGTGTATTAGGCAATGTCAATGGAGTTATCAAATGGGTATATTTATCACTATAGATAAAGTAATAAGTGATTGTGTTGGCATCCCGGAACAGCTGCCCTCCTTTTTTGTTGCTGAGAAAGTTAGGTATTTTCTGTTAAATGTATCAATTGTAGAATGGAGATTTGGTTAAATGTCACAGACACCTTTTCAAAACCTCATTGGTCAGAAGTCAAGGGCCGTCTACACCAAGAACAATAATTATAAGATGGTGTGTAGGGCCCTTTACTGTCCGAAGCACGCTCCTGTGAGGTCATCTCGCTCTGTGAGTGACATGAGTGGAGATGTAGGAGCTGATGTTGAATGATAACCTCTCTCGCTGTGATCTGAAGGCAGCGCTAACCACAGACACTGGTATGTGCCACAGGCCCCTCGTCCCCCGCTCGTCCCGCCACGCCTCAGTCTCGAGGAAGCCCGGTCCCCCCGCCTCCTCCTCCTCGACCGTCCTCGCGACCAAAGCTGCCCCCGGGGAAGCCAATCACAGACCTGGTACGTGTGAAATGTCCTTTCCTTTTTCTGTTAAAGGCAAAACAGAAATGCAAAATACACTTTTTGATGTTTTTATACATAAATATGTGTCCCCAGTATGTCAGTAGACTCACAAAGTGTCCGAAAATACAACCCTTTCTCTTTTCCTCCTTACTCACATCTCTAAACACGGAGGCACAATGGAGCTGATCCAGATTTGCGTCCGATATGACGTAATATCGGAAATGTGGGCTGGCTTTACGCCCACAGCCCTATCAGAAACGTCCCTATTAGAAACAATGCACAAGTAATATGTGTGTAAAGAAGCCGGATATACTCACCTTGTGGTAAACACGTGAGAGAAAAAGCATTTGAGCTCCATACTGTTTCAGAAATAATCCTTAATGTTTAATCATGTGAGCGTTTAGCTGAGTATCTGGGTAGAATTCTCCTGCATGAGCTCTCGTCACTTGTTTTTTAATTTTTTTAAAGCTACGGACCCAGAATCAGCACTTCTCTAACAGGCTGAAATAGAGGGGTATGAGGCATGGCTACACTGTTTGGTATTTTGAGAAAAACACTGCATAGACATGTTTTTATATATCTGAGACCTTTAAAACTGATATCAACTGATTTCTAATTCAACGTTCTGTGTCCAGTCTCGGCCCTTCAGTCCGCCGGTGTCATGCAGCCCCCCGCCTTTCGCCCCCCTGGCCCGGGCAGAGAGCTCCTCCTCCCTCTCCTCCGTCAACCTACACAGCGCAGCGTCCACTCCAACCTTAGGAAGGGACCTTAACATGTCCGGCGCAGGTACAACACTAACAAGTCATCGTGCTCTTCCTGTTTTTCATCCGTCCATGTTGTCTGTCGCTCATCATGCCTCACAGTCTTGTCCCTCTCCATGACTCTCTCCTCCTCATGTCTCACTCAGAGGCCTCACAGCCTCTGGTATGGTTTGACCACGGCAGGTTTTATTTATCTTTTGAAGGTGAGTCGAGCCAGAATGTAGTCCCAACAGTGCATGGGTTGCCCTCTGCCTACCTGCAGTCCTCTTCATGTTCACCTTCAATGCTAGGAACTGCTGCCCATCCCACCCCATGTCCTGCTTAATCAGAAAATGCTGCTTTCTAGATGCATTGTTGAGTTATGAGGTTTTTTTGTTAATCAGGGTACCTGCAGAATCTTAAAAGTGTTAAAGAATATTTTTTTAAGTATTTATATTCCTTAAATTAAATGGATTTTTTCCCAAAGACCTTCAATCGTTTTGATGGTCCTTTATAAAAAACTGAAATATCATATAAACATCTTAAATAACTGCTACAATTGTATAGTGTGTCAGAGCTCTGACCGCAAATCAGTCAGTTGATCAGTCAGGAATGATAACGAAACACCTTGCATATTGCTGCTAACAAGCTAACGTCAGCTTAACGTCTGTGTGTGTTTGTGTTTGTGTGTGTGTGTGTGTGTGTGTGTGTGTGTGTGTGTGTGTGTGTGTGTGTGTGTGTGTGTGGTGTGTGTGTGTGTGTGTGTGTGTGTGTGTGTGTGTGTGTGTGTGTGTGTGTGTGTGTGTGTGTGTGTGTGTGTGTGTAGTTAGTTTTATTATGTGCATGATTTCTGGCAGCAAATTTGTTAGTTGTCAGAAAAATAAACAAAACTTTGCGCACTCTGCTACTAACACGCTAACATTAGCTTATCACATCAGTGTATCTTCTTTTTTTGTAATCATAAAATGTTCTGTATGTGTGTGAAGTTACAATTAAAAAGTGTGCGTGAACTTAAGCTGTGAATCAGACAGCTCGAAATATCTTGCACCTTGCTACTAACAAGCTAACATTAGCAGGTAGCCTCAAAATGGGCAACTGTCGATTTAACATGGAACCACATTTTTACCAAGGGAGCAGACCGCCAAGACCGGAAAGCTTTTGTGTGCAGTTACTAACATACATTATTAAAGTTGAATACATTTTCACTTGAGAACCCTGGGGGTACCCTGTTTTTAATCCTCTCCTATCATTTGCGTATAACCCATAGCTGAACATTTGAGCATATGAGGAAAAAGCCCAGAGAATACTCCAAGTGTATTAAAGGCATCATTTGTGTGTGTTTCATCAGGATGCTCCAGAGGACCCAGTCCGCTCACCATGGGGCCCCAGGACACTCTACCAGTGGCAGCTGCCTTCACAGAAACCATCAATGCCTACTTCAAAGGCGCAGACCCCAGCAAGTAGGCCCACATTTCTCTGTTCTAAACACGGTGTCCTTTACCCTTCTAATGACCAGTATGCATTGATATGCAATGATTTTCATTTTGTTAAGAGTCGTTTTTAGAGGAATGATACAATCTTGGCAGCTACACACCAACTTTGCTGTTCAATTTGGACACTAAAGGGGTGCTGGGAGTGTGTGTTTTTTTGTTCAGCATGATCTCTGAGATCTGCCTCTTCACTCCCTCTGTCCCAGATGTGTTGTGAAGATCACAGGGGAGATGGTGCTTTCCTTCCCAGCGGGCATCACCAGGCATTTTGCCAGCCACCCGACTCAACCCATCCTCACATTCTGCATCAGCAACTACAGCCGACTGGAGCAGGTCCTCCCCAACCCTCAGCTACTGTGCTGGTAAGAATAGCATTACAGGCACACAATAGTCTCACTTGTCTCTGTATTTTTAATACATGCAGGGCAGGGCTATTAGGGCTCTTAGGGGTAGGGCTTATAATGGCATCTCAATATTTTTAGACTTCTGGTATAAGATACAAATCTTGACATTTTTGTATATCTTCTCCATAAAATATGTTTGATTTGTAACCTTTGGAAAGTATGATCCTTCAGCATCGTGGTGGTGTTTTACTGTTTGTTTTAAGTCTCTGAGATTGGTCACAGGAAATGTATTCTTGAATATTAATATTTTTCATTTGATTTATTTGATTTTTATTGACTGATTAACTTTTTGATAAAGTCACGTTTATTTTAGTTCTTGGACACTTTTATTTTAAAATCACTTCTTATACACTCTTAATGTAATACCTTGTATGTGCACGTCTCATAAAATAAAGGGGTGGCTGGTTAGTAGTCTTTTTCCGAATCAGGCTGGCATTATCCATTGGGCTTTTTCGACCTCAACACATAAAATCTCATAAAAAATGTCTAGATATTAAAACACACACACTCACTTAGGAGAGTGTGTCGGTGGGGGAGAGATCCCAGAGAGAAGGGGAACAGTAAAGAGAAGCTTATGCCAACAGTCATTTAATACATCCCACAGAAAAACGCCGCAATACATAGTATATTCAATATATCACTCTACTTGTATATGATATAATTAAGTGTCTTATATTAATGCTCACATGGTAAATGGAGTAGATTGTTTGAATCAAAAGAATCCCTCTCGTCCCTCAGTGATTCCACAACAGAAAGTGTAGACACCAAGGAATTCTGGGTGAATATGCCAAACCTGATGAGCCATCTGAAGAGAGTGGCTGAGCAAAAGCCTCAGGCGACATACTACAACGTGGACATGATCAAATATCAGGTATCAAATATCCCCTCGTCTATGTATCTAGTTGATCTATAGTATCCATCCACATGACCCCACCCCCTCATTGTGTCCATGATTCTCAGGTGTCTGCAGAGGGAATCCAGTCCTCTCCTCTGAACCTGGCGGTGAGCTGGCGAGGCGACGCCACCAGCACAGACTTGAGAATAGACTACAAATACAACACGGAGGCCATGGCCGCCCCTGTGCCACTACACAACCTCCAGTTCCTGGTTCCTGTGGACGGAGGCATGGCCAAACTCCAGGCCATGATCCCCCCCGCCACCTGGTAAGGAGTCCTTTCATAAAGCACTATCTCTAGGCAGGGGCGGACTGGCCATTGGGAATACCGGGAGTTTTCCCGGTGGGCCGGTGCTGTGCGTTTTGTTTTTTTCCTAAATCCTACCGGCCCACATTTGTAAGTGTTCCGGCCACTCCCTGGAGGGGTGTGGTCCACACCCCACTGGGCTGGGCTGGGCAGGGAAACGGGGTTCAGGGGAGTGGCTGTACCCGTAGGATAGAAAAGGGGGAAGTGACGTCTGACTCAGAGGTCGCGCCGATGTGGAGAAGAACGTGTTGCCCACATTCTGTTACTGAGTTTAGGCTAGTTAGCTAGCAGGTTTATTGTTTTGGGTGCAGTCACTTTTGCCTCCACTTGCTGTTCAAATAAATGTTGGAAGAAAAATTAAATCTGTTTACAGTTCTGTTTCATATGGGTGTTGAGAGATGTATCCATAGATTTAGTCCCTAATTTTGTTCTCAAAGTGCACTAGATTGACGCATTTAACTTCAACATCTCCCCGGGGGAGCTTACCCCCGGACCCCCCTTGAAGAGGTGAGGTCCACCACCTGCCCACACCCCCTGTTAAATTGTCTCACCCACATTAAGGATGCTTCCTACGCCCATGTTTTATTCCATGCGTCAAGTCAGGCAAATTGGGTCCAAATGTTATTGCATCAATGATCTGTTAACATTAAAATCAAGAAGTATATGCTGTAACTATTTTGCTCTAGGCAACTCAAGGGCTCAGGTAATGTGATTACTATATGAATAATGGTCCAAAATAACATAAAATGCATTGGGTTTTTTGTTAAGTAACATACTTTCGTCGCCGGCCGGCCGGCCGATACATGCCGCACGTTAAGTGGGCCTGTCTGTCAATTAATCCCCGGGCCACTTTTTCCCCCAGTCCACCCCTGTCTCTAGGGGCTGAAGGGGAGACCGTTGTGGGGAGTACAGCTACAAATGTTAAATGATGAATCGGGTGCACTGTAGTGGTAAAGATCAGAAGAGTGGCGCAGGGATGAGTCCTAAGACCTGGAAATTAGTTAGCATTTGACCACTTACAGTGCGGTTCCCTCGTCATGCAGTCAATGTTTTTTATGCAGTAATTTGGTCCGATACTTGATATGAGATATGTGGTTAACACAAGCTTAAGATATTTTAACTTTTGTTCTAAAACATGAAATATGTCAGTAAATACCCCACTGGTGAATGTCAAAAAACAGTAGTTGCAAACATGTGGCTAAATAGGACTGCTAAACATCCTCACACTGAACATTAGCCGCCTTTAGCCTAGCGGCGGTGACATGAAGTCATATACCTGTGATGTTGTTCATTTATAGCCTAGCGTTAGCTTTTTACTCAGTGTGATACAGTTACACTTCAAAAGTGTTGTTATTATATGGAAATGTTCCTGCAGCAAAAAGTTTGCCACAGAGCTTATTTTCTACAATATTCCTAAATCCAACGGAAAAATCCCATGCTTATTGTCAAGGGAGCCCTTGCTATGCTTACTTTCTGGTCGGTTTACACAAATATGTCACTGCACCACTCGATTGAAACAAAGCAGTGGCACTCACACATACAAGTTTGTATAGAAGCTAACTTATCATACTTTATTTGCACTTCTGCCAAAGAAATGGAATGTTTAGATGCTAGGTTTTGATTTTAAAATGTAAATGTTTCCATAATGAAGTGGAAAATGGTATATGTGTCAACACTATCTTCAAGTTTTCCCGTAATAATGGAATAAGGCCAAATTTACTTTCTACCAATCAAAAGAATACCCAAAATGATCATTTATATATCAATTACTCCCCCCATGTTACCTTGAATTCTTGAAGAAAACTTTGTCACCTCGCATGAGTGAACGCAGAATATAATAATTCATAATAAATTCACAGCTTACTATATCAAAACGCCCACATAAATAGTCTCACACTTGTGCAGGTCCGCTTTTTGTCCATGCTTGTTAGGTTTATGCTGTTTAAAATAGTACAGTTTTAGTAAAAATGTATGTGTTTGTGAAATAGTGAGCCTAGAAGTAGATAAATAACACTTGGATTATACTGCACAGGTTTTCTAAGAGTTTATAAAAAGATATCTTGCTATTTGTTCCGTTTCTGATTCTTCCTTCACCGTGGAGGCTTGTAAGAAAAACAAAGTTATCTTCACGAAATAAAGGTAACACAGGGTGAGTAGTTGATATACAAAAGGTGATTTTGTAGGTAAATTGTTCCTTTAATGCATATCAGACTGCAACATTGTCTCTGTAATGTGGAATCACTTTCTTATAAAGGAATCCAGAGCAGCAGACGATACAGTGGAAAATCCCCAGTCTCTCTCACAGATCAGAAAATGGAGGTACGTTTTCATTTTTGTGTTCATTCATATTCTTCTTGGTGAAGTTCCTTTGTTCTTCTTATGTTTATGCCACCTAATGTCCACACTTGACCATATTTAGTTATATCTGTGTGAAGCTGGTCTCTAGGGTGTTGTTTTCACATTCCTGTCTATGTATCCTCCTAAAATCTGAGATTCTAACACACTTGCTAGCTGTGGGGGAAACTTCTGTGTAGCAATGTAGTGGGAGTCACCGACTCATGAAGGAGACACGGGAAGAGCAGGAGCTTTCATGTCAAACACTGATGGTTTATTAGGAGCTTCGGCCGGAGGATTCACAAAACAAGTCACACAGTCAGAGGTTCTGACTTCACGGTAGAGTTGCCACGTCAATTCTGAAGATCTCTACCCCAGACCCATACTTAGCTAGTTCAGAGAGAATAATCAACATTGTGCAGAACAAGATAGAATCCTAACACCTCTATCAGCTGACGCCAACAGGCAGGAACAGGGAGACAAAACACTGAGAGCACAGCAGCCAAGGTTACAGGTGCGTGTGCTCAGTCAGGACAGTATGAACTGATACACTGGGTCAAAGTTATGGGCTTTGGAAAATATTTCCCTAACACTAGCTACAAGCTAGCTTACGTGCGTCACAAATTGAGCAAAACCCAGTCGTATACGTCAATGCATACATATACTGTACCAACAAGGAGGGTCTTCAACACAACAGAGTCCTGAGGGCAATGTGTAGAGTGGGCTTGTGGTACAGCGAGGAGAGTTAGCATTAGCATTGTGAAGGTTTTGACAGCAAACATGGAAAAGAAGACAGCTTTTGATGTAAATTGGACGCTGGAGCTTCCTTCCACTATCTATAAAAATAATTCACTAGATTTTTTTGGAATAATTTACAACCACTAACATTTAATAAACCACTGAATGATTTATCTAGCAATGTAAACAAATAAGAAATGCTAACTACAGACTCATCTTACTCAAACATGTTGGGACAGAATTTGTCATTAAGGGAGTTTTTATTTATTTCAGACTTGAGAAATGTCAACGAAACAAAATGTCAAATTAAATATTAATCATAACATAATTTTGCATTTGTCAAAACATGTATGGAAGGGAAACAAATTTTAAAACAAAATCAGTTCTCATCTTATCATATTCTCCCTTATACTGGACTGAACTGAAATCTCAGTTACAGGCTAGAAGTGTATTACTATCGTCTTTTTAATTGATTTCTACATTTTGAATTATTACTTTATTAATCTCGGGTGAAATTCAGTTTCTGGGCAGATACTGCATTTTAGAATGAAAACAAATAAAAAATAATAATACATGTGATTTATAGCGCTTTTCCTGGTGCTCAAATCGCTTTACAAGTAAAGAAGAAAAATAACAACAAAAGTAAAAGGTGCTAAACTAAGTGGAATAGGGGCGAGGGGTTAGTGGATTAGGAGTTGAAGGCAAGAGTGAAAAGATGTGTGATTTTGTGTGAATGAAGTGAGAGTGTTGGCAGATCAGATGTGGCTGGGAGGGAGGGAATACAAATATGCATAGCATAAGAAGTTAAAGTTATGTTGTGCTATAAAAAAAAGATAAAATTAAATAAATATATTTTAAAGCTTCTATATAAGAAGTTAAAGCAACATTTGCAAATATAAAGTTAAAATGTGCACATTGTACCCATTAGTACTGTGTGTGTGTCCCTCAGGAGTAGGGGCTCTCCTGGGCCGGTTCCAGATGACAGAGGGTCCCTGTAAACCCTCCCAGCTGGCTGTGCAGTTCAGCAGTGAGGGCTGCACTCTGTCGGGCTGCGACATCCAGCTTCTAGGGACGGGCTACCGGCTCTCGCTGATCAAGAAGAGATTTGCTGCAGGTCAGTTTGAGCATCCAGTATTTATGTGACCTCTTTAGGGCAGCATTCTGTTCAGCCTGACATTAACATGTGATCCCATCACAGTGCACAGCTTTACAGGTGATATACAAGGTTTAGTTAGTTTCCAGAGTGTTTGCTTGCTTTATTTTAATTCGTTTTAGTTTATTTAATATATTATGTCTTAGTTTTTTTACAAGCTTGGATAACTATGTAGGCTAGTATATGTTTTGATACAGCAATTAACTTGATTCTTCTTTCACCATCTTACTTAGAAGAACAGGACCACAGTGGGTTAAAAGTTATATATACAGTCTATGGTTAAAACTAGCATAAGCACAATAGTTCATGTTTATGTAATTTTATCTGCTACAATATTTAAATCTGTTAAGTATGTTCATTTTCTGTGATTTAATGTCACCAGAGTGACAGAAAATCTATTATATCAAAAAACTAGAACTCAAATTAATTCACTTTCTTCTTCATTGTATTTTAATTTGTACTTAATATATATATTAACCGGGGAACATTGTTTCAGGTTTTCTTTATAAGGATATTGTTTTTATATAGTTTAATTTTAGAGAAAACAATTTTCATTTTAGATTCTGTTCTACCCCACGATAATAACCCTGGTTCCTATTACACGACAAACCTCTCCAATACAATAGGACAATGTGGATTTGTATCGGTGCCTCCTGCTGGTTAAAACGGAAACAAATTTGTTTTTTGCAAGCAGAAAACATAAATGTGTTTTTTTGCATAAAGGGCCATTAAGTTATACCTAACCACAAGTGGCCAATTACTTAGGGAGAGGCATTTTAATGTCAGGGCTTCATTGCACAGACACAGATGAACCTTTCCGCTTCTCTGACATATTTTGTTTTATTTCACAGGGAAATATTTGGCGGATAATTAGCGGACCTGTTTGGGAACAGAACCAAAAGAATCAATGGCATTTGACTGTGAAGACTATGGATCCATCCCATGTTTAGTGCATCTGAAACCTCATTTTAGGCAACCATTAAAATAACTGGTTGTTATTTTACAGAATAACAGAACACACACACACAGGATTATTTATTTCATGACATCATCATTCAGTAGACGGACTCCTGCTGAGTTTATGCAAGTAAAAACAAATCATTCGTTTTGTGCACTAATGGGCTTATATGGAGTAAAACATTGCAAAACCCTGATTCTTTGTACTTGTTAACATATGTGTGGATTCATACAGTGATCCAGCCTTATTCATTGCAGTTTCTGTTGTCATTGCAAAATGCACTGTAAAGGATGATGTGAGTATAACGCAATCTAAAACAAGGTGGAAAAGACAGGAAAATGTAAAAAAAATGGTGTATTATAGATTTGCTATACAGTTGTATTCCGATAAGTTGTAGGTTTCATGGTAATATCTGATATACACTGCCACCTCAAATCAGAGTTTTTTTTCCACCATGAGTGAGATCTCACCGGCCGTCTAAGCAGAATTGACGTTTCTGTTTAGACAGCCTTTGAAATGTCACAGTCCATTCTATCAGTCTTGTGATTGAAGGGGATTGGTCAGTTCACAGTTCAGAATGACCCGCAGCGCTGGATCAGCACTTTTAACCTGAAGGTGCTTTTTATACGGAATTATATTGGTGCCTCAATCTGGAGCACATGATGGGGAATTTGAGGACAGTAAAACTTTGTGTGCAAGCAGGTTAATATTATTTTGTAGAGTTTGAGCCATGCAAATAAAACATTTATTTGAGCATTGGAAGAATTATACTTATTTTACTTATCTCCAATTTAAATTAAATGTAAATGTGAAAAAGTTATAATTAATATTTTTATATTAACACTGTATCACATAATTACAGGCAGCTTTTATAAGAGTAAAAGCTCATTCAAACCCATCGTACAACCTGCCCAGCAACAAACAGATAGCATCATAGTTAGCAAACTGGCTAGAAGACGCCACAGTGACAGTGATCCTCAGGAGTTGGTAGGAACAAGAAAACATGAGTTAAAGGCGAGAAAATATTGGACTGTCAAACATCAGGTGACCAAAAACACAACTCCAAAATGCTAATGTTACTACTTATTCGCTGTGTGTGTTTATCAGGGCTAATACGCTAAAGTGTTGATCAAATCAACTTAAAAGCTGATTAAATGTCAGTGTTTCCGAAAGGAACCAGAAAATCATCAAATTGCAGGTTTAACTTAGCTTTTTTTAAGTGACTATATTAATTATTATAGTACCATGGCTGTGTATCTGACCATTATGAAGTTAGCCAGCTAGCTTAGTTAGCTACGGCATATCTAGCAGCCTTTTGCTAGCTAGCTACCAAGATAGCTAGTGTTCTTAATGACTTACCACCAGTTTCATTAAATGTGTGTATGTATTGTATAAAACATACTTTATTTGTGACTGCTTTCCATTCTACAACCAGATAAGTTTATTGTTGTGAATTTTATTTGGCTCAGCTGATAACCCTTAAATAGCTGCTCCTCGTGGCCGACATCAATAGGATGGCCGATCGATTTTCCATTTTTGTATTCTAAAAGAGAAGTTCATAACCTGGCTGAGATGTAGTGAGCTAAGAAGGAATGCAATACAATCCCATAGTTCTGACCTAACCAAATGAAAGTGGCATCACTATTGTTAATTTACAATGAGCCTCCTCAAATGCTATTACATTTTCTGGTAGAAGAATTGAATTGCAATCATATTGTCGTATACTGCAAAATTCTTCTACACTGGTGCAAACATAGCTTTCTAGAGTTTTCTTCTTCTTGAATTTTTTTTAAGTCAATGAAAGTCATACTTTATTATAGGAAGTTAGGAACTGTTCGTGATAATACACATTTCCTGTTATTGAACAATTACTTATTGACCGGATTTATATTGTGCATCCCTTATGAATACTCTACAAAATATCATTTATGTGCTTGCAACAAAAATACCTTATTTAGTCCCATCCTGCATTCAAGATTGAAGCACTTACTGTATATGTAATGCTACAATTTTACACATGCAGCTTTTACCACTGCAACGATGGCATTTTGTCTTTAAAGGGTCATGTGAACAGAAAGTTGAAACTATCTGCTGAAGAACAAAAAGCATTACATAACCACTACGGGCACGTGCAATGCTGAGATACATCAACTTCCTCACACCACAGGACTTTTAAGTGGTATTTGTTGTTGTGAATGGTCACATTGTGTAACAAAAAGGCGAAACAGAAGCTGCTACTTTCACTGGAAGGTTAATTTTATTCTGTTAATGTTACAGAAAATATGTTTGAAAAGGGCCTTAAGACGCATACAGAGCCAGACGTGAGTGCCATACAGTGGGGAGGAGGAGCTTTAAGTTTCAGGAGAAATCTAGAAGGGGTTGAAAAGTGTAGGAATTGCCTTTGATGCTGCTTAAAAAAGTCAGCCACTTCCTTTGACCACGATCTTTGATAGAGGTCTTGACGAGGAATATCGGGGACCTCACAGAGTAACAAAAATAAATGTCTATGAAGAGGACAGCACTATTCATGTCCCTGTTTCATTTCCTTCCTTTTCCACCACGTTGAATACATGTTTTATCATTTTCTAATAGCAATATTTAAGTGTATAAAGTGTACATAAAAAGCTATGTTTCGAATATTTCTCTGGGCATATGGATGTGTCTGTGATCGTCTTTTGGGTTTATCGATGTCAGCACTCATGATGAATTCTGTAACAACACCAACACTCATCTATTGTTTTACATGTGGGTTTCTGTACCAAAAAATACCTGTAACTGTTGATGAATAACTCCAAACGGTGCCGCATGAAATCTGCATTCGTTCCATTCCAGTCTTATCAATGCAATTCCAATTTATCCATTTCACTAAGGTCATGATGCGTGTGTTATTGTATAATCGTGCTATGGGAGGAGACTTTCTGCCTTCACTTAAACATCCACTCTGTTTTGCTGTTGTTGCACCTTCAAAAAACTCGTCGTCCATACATTTGGCATGTATTCATAGATAATCCCATTCCATGCATCTGATGTTCTCCTGTTTGACTTGCACACAAAACACACTCATCCCATTAAACAACCCATGGGCTCATGTCACATATGTGTTTGAACCATTTTATACAATGTTTTCATGTGTTGACTCACAATTTGGGCATAGGTGTAATATTTCATTATGTCTTAGAAAAAGAAAAAACGATATTTAAGTCATTTAAGAAGGACGGTTTTCAGTGTTTCTGTTTGTTATGCTTATATTTTTCTTTGCCTTATTTTTCAGAATACACTTATTCCTCCGATGCGTGACGGTTTCTGTACGTTAATTTTTTCTACAACTTTTATGGCTGTATTCCTTTCACTGCATTAGACACAGAATATGCAAACATGTCATGTAAATTTCCCATCCAAAGATTTTGAAAGTAAATATATGAAAAAAAATCAATATAATGTAATACCTGTTTTACTTGGTAATAAAGAAGAGGAAATATGTGACGTGTATCTCACTTTCATTTGTCCAAATATAGAAAAGTATATGATTGTTTTGTACAACATGTTTTAGTGGGGCATGTTCTTGTGAAAGTGAATCACTCAACCTGATTTCCACTGGTTAACTAAAATAAATATATAATTTATTTCAGGATTTATTCCTAAATGCCACCAGTGGTGGAAAGTAACTAAGTGCATGTATTTAAGTACTGCACTGAAGTACATTTTTGATTACTTGAGTATTTTTCTTTTATGCTACTTTATACTTCTAATCCATTACACTTTGGCGGCAGAAATTGTACTTTTTACTAACTTTATTTATTTGCAAACATTAGTTACTAATTACTTTTGCAGGTTTATATTATAAATACAAAAATGAATGACTATCATGGATGCAGATACCAGGCAGAATACAAAGTTATCAATGTTATATCATCCTTTAACCCTGTAAAGCCCAAATATAGAAAACCATTAGCACATTTTTTACATCATTAAAATGATAGACATATGAATCCATCTATGCTTTTGTACTTTTCTAGGTCATATTTTGAATGCAGGACGTTTACTTACGGTATTATTACTTTTACTTGAATAGAATCAGGTTGAGGCTATTTGAGAAATCAATCTGACCACAAGGACCCGTTTTCCCGTTTTTTTCCAAAACACTTCAATCTCTCACATGTTATCTTAAAGGCTGAGGTTGAAAAATTCATTATTGAGCTTGGAAAAAAACTAAAAGGGAATGTGAACACATACAAACCCCATAAATATTATGTAATTAGGCTATTCAAAAATCTCTATACAACAAAATCTATCTTAATGAGATTATTTCTCAACTGCTGTGTCCAAAATCCAGTATAAACACAAGCTTTTTTAAGAAGCTTACAACAACATTTAGCAGTTTGTAGAATGATGTAACAGCACAATAGTCATTTTATCGTCGATACACAAAAACAAAATGTACATCTTTAGAGCAGATCGGCAGCAGGAAGTCCCACCGTTCGTAGGCTCTTACTGGAACAGAAAGGGCTGCTGAGTAGTTTTCAGAGCGGATTTCTGTACTTTTCCAAAGGGCGGTCCACAATAGGTCCACAATAGATGCATTAGTAAGAGTGAGTAATGATGTGGAAAAAACATTGAAAATGAAAGAGATAATGGCAATAGTGTACTTTGACATTGAAAAGGCGTATGAATGTGGAGGGATGGATTACTGATCAAATTGAGTAGAAGGGTATTGGAGGGAGAATGTTCAATTGGGTAAAGGCCTTTTTAACAGACAGGACATTTAGAGTAAAGGTTGGAGCAGATATTTCCAATTATTTTGAAATAGAAAATGGTATTCCCCAAGGGACTGCAGTCAGTCCAATATTATTTAACATCATGATTAATGAGATATTTACATGCTTAGACACATGCATCCAATCGGCTCTATACGCAGATGATGGGGCTATTTGGATGAGGGGAAGAAATGCCCCATACGTAATGGAGAATATAGCTAGAGCGATTAAAAAAATGGAGAGGTGGTCATATAACTGGGGATTCAAAATGTCAGAAAGCAAGTCATGCTACATGGTATTTACAAACAAACGCAAGATTGATGGCCAACAGCTAACACTATATGATCGTCCAATGACAAAGGTGAATGCTCAAATACTTAGGACTGTGGTTTGATAGCAAATATACATGGAAAATGCATATTAATCAAGTGGAAACAAAAAAAAGTATAGTGTATGGAGCAGCAGCATAAATATCGCTTTTAAAAATTGATAGAATACAAAGCATTGCAGCTGTGTGTATTGGAGCGATAAAGTCATCCCCTATCAATGCAGTTCTGATAGAAGCAGGAGAGACACCTCTGGAGATCAGAAGAGAGAAACTTGCTCTGTCATACTGGGTCAGACTACAAGGAAGTGGAGAGGAAAATATCACAAACAGAATATTACAGGATTGCTGGGAATATGCAAAGTTCCAGGGGCGTGGGTTTGGCTGGACAACTTAGTAAGGAAAGAACGAGGGCATGTGGAGTGGAGACCATCACGTTTGCCAAAGCAACCCCATTCAGCAGTGTTCCCCCATGGCTTTTCCCAGAAGCTAAAATAGATATGAGTATTGTAGAAAGGAAAAAAGAGTGGCAAATAAATGAAGTGGGAATTAAAACAAGTATCTGAACGAAAAGTACTACAATTACCTAAAAATGTACACAGATGGTTCTAAGAACAAGGAAGAGTGTGTTGGACTTTAAAATATCGATTTCAAAAAGAGCATCTGATCAACTATCAGTGTACGCAGCAGAAATGCTTGCTGTAATAATAGGATTACAGTGGGTTGAAGAGGTCAGACCAGATAGGGTGGTGATATGCACAGATTCATTATCCATATTAAAAAGCACACAATCAACAACAACTGCCAGAGAAGACATTCTCATAGAACTGAATCATAGCCTGTTAAGACTTCACAGAGGTGGTATAGATCTGCAGTTCTGCTGGGTGCCTGCACATGAGGGGGTGAAAGGGAACGAGTGTGCTGATAAATGAGCAAAAAGTGCACTACAAAAGGAAATAACATTACCAGTTCAACTTGGAAAAGGAGAAGGAAAAGCAGTCATTAAGAAAAAAGGGATGGAGATCTGGCAGAAAAGGTGGGAGAAAGACCAGAAAGGCAAAGAATATCACAAAGTACAAAAGACAATTACAATTAATATTTATAAAGAAAGAAACAGAAGGGAGGAAATCATGATGGCTAGACTCAGAATAAATCACACAGTTTTGAATGGTACGCTGTATATCATGGGGAAAAGTGACAGTGACAAGTGTGGGAACTGTGGAGTTAAAGAACATGTAGAACACATCTTGTTACATTGTGACATCTATAAAGCTGAAGGAGAAAAACTAAAGGCTAAAGTTTTAGAGGCAGAGAGGGAATGGAGTGTGGTTGGTGTTTTGGGAACAAAAGGAGAGGGAGTAAGAGCTACCAGAAAGGCACTGTTTACCTTCCTGAGTGAAACTGGGGTAGGAACAATTATTTAACATTAGGTCAGGAAAGATCATTTTTATTTGTGTTTTATTTATTTCATGTTTTTGTTGATTTATTTATTTATTTTTGATTAGATCATAGGTTAAGAGCATAGACTAAATAAAGAGTTTAAGAGATTAAATTATATGATTATTCATACTCATGTGCAATAGGTGGCGGTATGCACCTTTAAAGTTGTTTGCAATCCGCCAAAAACGGAGAAGAAGAAGAAGAAGAAGAAGAAGAAGAAGAAGAAGAAGAAGAAGAAGAAGAAGAAGAAGAAGAAGAAGAAGAAGAAGAAGAAGAAGAAGAAGAAGAAGAAGAAGAAGAAGAAGAAGAAGAAGAAGAAGAAGAAGAAGAAGAAGAAGAAAGTCCCGCCCACTGACTGATGGTACTTGGTTGCTATGACGACACCAAGCTCTAAAGGGCTAACTACTTCTGCTCGGTTCAAGAGTTCCTAAAATCGGTAATAACCTGTTAAAATCGCTTTGGTTATATTTATTTGTGTCCTATTTGACACAAAATATTCTGTAAACTATACTGTTTTCCAAAGTTAGCTAAAAGTAATAATGGGTTAACAAACAAGCCAACTACAAACAGCCTTGGTAGCATATTATGTTTACATACCCTGAAGAGCTAGCGCATAGCACTGTTTCAAAGTGTTAGCGTTAAATGCTTTATGAGTTTTCATTTTGACAATATGTATTTAATACTCGCCCTCAAGTGTTGAATTTAGCTTATGTTTAACTATACCACTGTATATGTATAACTGAGCTAACGTCAGTATGTTTTTGTTGTCGTCCTGTGAAGACAAGCTGTCATGTCTGAGGTGTTTAAAGACAAGTCCCAGAGGAGAGGACATGGAGCCCGAGGCAAAGAGGCCACAGGCAGGACCAAGGAGTGAGTGCTCTGTAATCATGTGGGCAGATATCCAACTTTAATATTATTGCATTTTCCTCAGTCGTGTTTATTATTTGGTCCGATAGTAAGTAACCAAGTACATTTACTCAGGTACTTAAGTACAATTTAGATTGACTTGAACAGAACTTGAGTATTTCCATTTCCTGCTGCTTTATACTTCTACCCCAGGGGTGTCAAACTCAATTTCATCGTGGGCCACATTAGCATTATGGTTGCACTCAAAGGGCCGGTTGTAACTATATAAATATACATATATATTATAAATGCATAATGTATATGAAATAATGTATTATATTATATTATTGCCTCTGCAACTGAGACGTAAAGTGTATTTGTATTCAAAAATATTTTGTACTATTTCATTTAAGTAATACTTTGAATACAGATATGTAATTGTAACATAGAAATCATACTTAGTTGTCATTTCTATTTTAACTTGAATATAAGATTGACATATTTCTTCGAACACTGATTTGAACTGATATATAAAAAGCATTCCCAATACGTGTGTATCCTTTCTGGTTGAGAAGTTCCTCTCAGCTCTTTTTCAATAATTCCAGAGATCAGGAACCACACACCCTGTTAATGTTCCTGTATCTGATCCTGTCTTCCAGCTCCATAAGCACTGTGTCGTACATTGATGAACTCGCACACCATGATGACAACGCTCGGATGGCCATAACAACGGAGAACACCTACCAGCTGGGTGAGGTCATATTTACTTGTTTGACACACATGCTATACATGTTTCTGGTTTATGGTTCACACATGCATCACTGAGATGTATACTGTCACATTTACGTTTTATGGACTGGTGTCAAACTGGTGTCAAAGGTGTCAAACTCAATTTCATCGCGGGCCACATCAGTATTATGGTTGCACTCAAAGGGCCGGTTGTAACTATATAAATATACATATCTAAATATATAATATACATAAAATAATGTATTATATTACATTATTGCCTCTGCATTGGATTATTATCGGATAGGGTAATAACTTCATAATTAACTACGTCTGAAAGCAGAAGTCTAGGGCAAATAATTGCAAGTCTCTTCAGTGCGCATGTCACAAAATGAGATGCATTGTGGGACATGTAGTTTATGGGCAACCTGCTTCTGTAAAGTGGCATGTGACCATATAATAAACGTATTATATTCTTTGCAAGCTCTTGCGGGCCACATAAAATGAAGTTGCGGGCCGGATTTGGCCCCCGGGCCTTGAGTTTGAGACCCCTGCTCTAAACTATATTATGACATTGTGTTGTTTTAGAGGAGATGTATGCCACTGATATGATAGTGATAATATTACAGCATCATTTTAAAGAGCAATGGACTTCTAATTCGAAAGAATAACCAAACTTTGGAATTTTTATGTAAAACATATATGAAAGTATCCTAAATAAACAAAACATAAATAAACCCTTACTAAATAAAAATTGGACTAGGCCTACTGTTTTAAAAAAATCACAATGTTTGTGTGATGTGAACTGACAATAATATTATATATAGTATTCATTTTCTAGCGCCTCTCAAATCATCATTTTCTCACTTTGTCTCCTTCCCCCCTAGAGCACCACACACTAATTCATTTGATTCGTTTTCTTAATTAAAAGTAGACAAAATGAAGAAAAAAAGATTAAGATACATTTTTGTTATAATGTTAATTAGCGATATAGGCTATACATGTTGTAAAATCTGATATAGTAACACCTCTAATTGGTAAGGGATGGAAGCCTAACTAGACCAGAAACAGGTTTAGCATTAGACATTTTGACGCAATATTCATTGAAATTTCAAATGATATATGATTTACTGCACAAAAAGTAAAAGTTGGATTATAGTCTCTGTGTTTTTCTCACTACAGGACCAAATAAACGCATGCCTGTCCCTGCTGTCACAGACATACTGAAGGACGTACTGACCAGTTACCTCCAGGAGGAGAAATACGAAGTAGAATGGTCTCAGAAAATGACAAAAACAATATGTGAGGTAAATAAAACAGACAAAACAAATGCAACACCTTTTGAACGCTTGGAACTTGTTTTCTATCAGTTCCCTTCCTTGGCTTTCCCCTCCAGGTGATCAGAGCCCGTGTGAAGGAACTCATGATTCCCAGATATAAGATCGTGGTCCTGGTCCACATCGGCCAGCTCGCGGGACAGAGCATGCAGATCAGCAGCCGCTGTCTATGGGACGCCGCTAATGACACCTTCGCCTCCTTCTCCTTCAAAAACAGCTCTCTGTACGGCGTGGCCACTGTCTACGCTGTTTACTATGAGTAAACCATACACACAAAGACTGATAAACACTTTAGATTCCTAAAAGATTTCTGCTGTTAAAGAGTATATTTTGCCAAGTATCAAATGATAAACAAGAATTTGTAAGCAAAATCACGGTGTTTTTTATTATTGGTAGCATGGAAAGTGAAATTACATTATGTTCTGAAGATTTTATTTCAATGTGTTGATGATTTTGGGGATGTTGTCCTCTAGCAGAGCATGGAGAGGTCACTCTTTCGACAGCCTACTTGGCAGCACACTGTTATTAGCGCCTGGTTTAGGTCCCGCCACTGACGGTCATTATCTGTCCTCTTCAGTTCTGGCTCTCTGCGACCTGCAAACAGACATAAACCAATCTGTCAATGATTTGAAATGAACCCCAATGCTACAAAGAGAAATATAAGTGACTGTTCACTCACCGTCTTGCAAAGTCTCCTCTCCCCCCGTCACTCTTCTCCACCTGGATCCTCCGCAGGTGTACACCACTGCCCGCATTAACGCCCGGCCACACAGCCTCAGTGTGTTTTTGTTGTCCTGCGTCTGAACATGCGCCACACACACCGTGCACAGCAGCAACGCAAGCAGGAGTACAGATTTCATGTTGTTTATTTTCAGAAAACCTGATCCAGATCAACCCTTTTTATACAGAGTCTACTGTGACGTCACACATCTTCCTATCTCTGGTCACCACCATGCGCTTCAACAGCGGATGTCCACCTGGTCATTTAGGGATATGTGTGGGAATCTAAGCCATTGTCACTGATTAAGGACGTTTTCTTAAATGTTAATGAGAATGAATTGCTCTTTTATGTCCCTTTTTATTGCCATGGATTTAGCAAAGTGTTTCCTAATGGGTGGCTTGAGATATCCGTCCCCGAACAAACTGAGATGATGGCTCTCTACATAGCAACAGTGGAGAGTGGGCCGCTATCATGGACATAAATCAGTGATTCCAGGCAGAGACCTTTGCATTAGCTGGGACATTTGTTGTCAAATTGAACTGTGTCATGGAATAAATATCACCTTCAAATAGTGTTGACATGCCCATGTTTAAATATCAATGGTGTGGCTAAGCCTAACCAGCATCAAAAACACAGTTTGTATTTATTATAATTGTGTCTTGAATTAAGTTTTTTACGTTTTAGAAATATTTGTATTGGCATTTCTTTCTTCCCGAAAAGGACATTAAACAAATGTACCCCCCCACCCCCCCCCCAATTAAATACCAAATAAATAAATAAAACAGAAAGTTAGCAGGGATAACGTTTAATTTGTAATTGCAGTTGCTTGAATTGTTTCATGGTGGTAATTTTTCATAGACGTCCTTTTATAAAAGGAGCATTCAGTTTCGCCAGGACTTATGAATATACAGTATAGAGAGCTTTTGAATCGTTTTGCTGTGGTGAATGATGAGCTTTTTGGAAACACAAATTGGCATAGTCTTGGCATTTAGATGAAATTCTTTTTTGGGAGTTGTTTTCTAGTTTTTTAGGCAAAATAATAATCGATACATATTTTTGAATAAATAATCAATCTTAATGGAGAGCAAACTTCCCTTGGGCAACCCAAGACTAAATAAAAAAGGGGAAATATGTATATTTAAATTCTTTACATTTGGAGTCGAGTAATATTAAAGACCAAACAGACCAACAAACTGTTGTTTATTACAAACAAAACAAAATAAGAACAGAAAAGTCTAAATAAAAAGTTGTTGTTTCTGTTTAAAAAATAAATAATAATGTTGTTATAAAATATCTGACTTAAATGCACGGTAGGGGCTTGGACTGGGAGCCGTAGGGTCGCCGGTTCAAGTTCCGCCTGTTTTTCAGGTCTCAGGCTCGTAAATGACATTCCCAGAACAAATGACCATATCTTCCCTTCTAAAAGGGTTAAATTAATATTTTCTCTCAAAGCAAGGTTACACCTGTTAGTTGGATGTAGAAGTGTCAGAATCAATATAGATGTTTTTTATTTTAAAGTAAATTCAGATTGAACACAGTAAAAAAAATGTAAATGATTGTGTCCGTCCAAAAAAATAAATAATTACTTATAGTGAAAACCACCCTTGAATGATGGGATGGTAGACTAAAAGCTTTAGGAATCCAAACTACAACATATAATAAGTACCCTGTATCAAGATTGATGCAAAACAAGTGAAATTTGACCTTTTTAGAGAGATTTAGCAAAAAAAAACACTTCTGGGGTCATTTGGGTGGATTTTCCATATCTCTGGCCCCCGTTGGTCGATTTTGCTGATTGACATCTCTTTCTAACCGTCAGAGCCAATGGAATCGAGGGAAACTCCCACATACTCCTTATTTGGTAATGTGTGTGTCTGAGACTGCCGCATACATAGATATATATATGGCCGCATAGCCAAGACCGGAAGCTGCGATAACTCTGGTGGCTACCATTAGCAGCTAACTTTTACTCTCCGATTTTTACATAAAAATGGAATTATGGATTATAAATTAAACAAATTATTACCCAGAAACATTATCAACCTATGGATTAACCGAGTCAGCCGCGTTTTTTCTCGTTTTAATGCCATTGAACCAGCCTTTTGATCAGATTCACAGCTACAGTGAGACGATCTCCAGTAAAAGCTCCGTAAAGGTACGTGTTGTGATGTCTGTGTTTACTTCCCCTGTCAAGAGCTCGGATCACTCAGTGATAATATATATACCTAAATAATATGTGGAACCTCAGCTTTAATCGGATATCTTGTATGTGCAGCTATGATAAGTAATAAGGGTATATTTTATATTGAGTTCTGTGCCAAAGTGCGTTAGAATATTTCGTTCAGGGGTCATTTAGATGCTTCTTATGAGACTTGTGTTTTGTTTTGGTAAAAATGGTTTGTATCATCAGTTAGCTGAGATTATTTCCGTTAATCTGGTATAACACATTAATAGGTTCTTAAATATTAAGATCCCCTGAGACACAGTAGCGTGGCGTGGGGAAAAATGTAGGGGAAGCCCATTTTTTGGGTCGGGGGGTGGTCAATAACGTAACCAGATGAGTGATTACAGCGCCCGGTATCATTTGACACACATTTGTATCACACAGATGCAGGACTTGCACACGCCTGTTATCTAACCGACAGGTCCGCACGCACTCTCCAGCTGAAACTCTCTCCTTATTAATTTAAGCATTTTACTTATTAATGTATGCAGACAATCACACAATCTATGTGATTTTTGGATTTACCGTGCCTCTCAATTGCCCGTGACAGGTTGGCAAGGTCGATGAATCCTGAAGTTGCCCAAGGATTGTTCAGGGAGCACGAATCCTTGTCAAAAAGAAGACATGGCCAGCAAATTAGACGCTGAAGTTTAGCGCTTCCAGTTAGCCACTCCGTGCGGACATAATTGTCCTCATTGAACGTCCGATTCTCTCCCTTTTTCCTCTGCGTACACACAGCTCGAGTGCGGGCATTTGCCTGTCATCTGATTTAATTTTTAGTTGCTGCTGTAGCGGAAGTTTAGTAAAGTTATGTTTGATTAAGTACGCCAAATCTCCACCCTCCATAATGCTTCATTTGCTTGATAATGTCTAACGGCGGTGATGACAGTTACAGTATTAAAACTGATGTTGATGTGATTTGATTGGATGGCAGTGTCCAATCAAATCGCCAGCCGCCAGCCGCCTCTGAAGGGAAGCAAGAGGCGGCTAGCTTCCCTTGGCATGGCCCTGACCAATCACAGGTTGGCAGGGGCATCACGTGGGCCTCATCTGATTGGTCAATCCCTCCATTTTTTTTCACCAAGGGAAGCTAGATTCGGCTGGCCTCCTCTCGCAACAGTGAGTGCAATCTACTGTTTCACCATAACATCTAGAGGGGCGCTGTTTGTTTCACTCTTTGTAAAATACTCAATGAGAATGGGGGAGAGCCGGGCCGGCAGCAACACACAGCAAAGGAGAATTATCGAAACAAAACAAAGTGTTTTTATTTATTTATTTAAATTATAACTACAATCCGAAAAAACAGGGGAAGCCTGGCTTCCCTTGGCCTCCGGGAGAAAACGCCACTGCTGAGACACAGTGTCGTGAAAAGAAAAGAAAAAAGTAGGGGCTTAACAGTTTAAAGAGGCTTTCATCCCTCTGATTCTATATCTATCTATAATGCATTTCATTGATTTACATTACAGCTTTTTAAGGTACAGTTAGAGACACAGTTTATGCCTTTATGTACATGTTTTGTAGTTGTTTTGTTGAAATAATATGACATAATGCCATAACACCACGGTCAGTGTATGTTTTGGTCATTGGATTTTCTTTTCTCGAAATGATATTCAATAACAAAAAACGACTGGATATTTAATTTTCGTTTTAAAATTGAAAAAATAGATTAGGGATTAACTACATTTAAGAAACGGGATGATTTGCATTATCTACTTCTCAAAACTAAAAATAAAGCCACTAATGAACAGAAACGAAAAAACCGCATTTTTTTCATATTTTGCTACCGGAAGTTGTCTCGCAAAATAAGAGCGCAGATCAGTACGGTCCTGTGTCGGCCGTGATTCGGTGTTCCGTGGTCAAATCAGCCCGCGATAAAATAATATATTTAACCCTCCGGTATCAATCTGGCCATTTTTGTCCAAATGGGTCATTTTTTACTTTTCATTTGCCAATAACTTTGGTTGTGTAAACCAAAGTTATTGGCAAATGGCATGATTTTTTGTAACAAGGCTATTTTCTCGATATATTTTAGAATCCCAATTGTTCTAATGGGTCTATAATTCACTGTGAACAACATTGACTGCCCTAATTGACCATTCGGGACAAAAATGTCCACTGCCAAACATTTTGATAAAAACATTATATTAAAAATATTTTTTCACTACTTTTTTTAGATCAATCTTTAAAGCAACTTCAGCCCTAATCAAAAATACCAAATATTTTATAATTTTCAGGACTTAATCCTTTAAATGCCATTTTGAATACATGAAATCACTTTTGTTTTTCATGAGAAAAACACAGAAAATGTGTTATCTTCCGTATAATACATATCTGGAGACTGGCTTTTTTTTTTTAATGACATCAGTCTTGGACGAGATTTGTCGCATTTGTCATGGGCGCACCCCACATACTCAGCTCTGCTCATCCCACAAATGCATGTTCCTCACAAATGTGGCACCATTTGAAAGGTAAATAAACAGGCTTTCCAACTGATTTATTGTCAAAAAGCATTGTTACAACAAAGAAATAATATACCAAACACACATTTCACTTGTTAAGTTTAGATATACAGTATATTATTGATGTAGTCTTTAGCAACACTTTTAAAATATAACGAATAATTGTTTTATAATATTCTTTACAGAAAGTTGCGTGAAAATACGTGGAAACTTTATTAATAGCCTAGCAGATGAAAAGATTTGCAGGAGGATCAATTATTCATGCTTTTCAATGGCTCTCTAGATAAATAACGTTTTATGTTTGCTTGTATTATCCTCAGATAGTGATTTATTAGGATAACTAGTGATATTTTAATAAATATTGCAACAAAAAAAAGCCTATATCACCTTTGGCTTATTTTTTCAAGCACCACAAGATTCACAGTTTATAAAGTACAATTCTGGGCCATTTATTGTGTAATTTCTCCAAAGACATACAGTAACAATGCCTGTTTTGCAGCCTTAAAAGGGTGCTCATCAAAAATAGCAGGACAAAATGCATTCTTGTACTCAGGAGGGGGAGGAGTATTACTGAAAAAATACATAGTAAAAGTAAAAGTACTTCATAGTAGTTGTGGTAGTAGTTTAATTAGTACTGAGTCAAACAATATCAATATCATTAAGAGCTCATGACAAAATATATTTGTATCGCTCATCAAACTTAGCAGAAGTGGCTTGATTTTGTTCTCAGTAGGGGACTTTGACAAGAGTATTCCTTACAAATTAAACAGTAAAAGTACTTAATTGTATTGCTAGTAGGCGTACTACTACTGAGTCCAACAGTATCAATTTCCTTAAAAAAACTAATGGTAAAAAAAACGTTTATCACTCATCAAAGCGTCAGTGCCGCTTCACAGCGATTACCGTAAATTAAGAGCTGCTGATTTGAACAAGCAAACGCGAGAGACTGCTGAGTTGACCGCAGTGTTTCACGGCCGACACAGGACCGAACTGATCTGCGCTCTTATTTTGTAAACAGCTACTTCCGGTAGCAGAGTATGAAACAACGGGCGTTTTTTCGTTTCTGTTTTCAAGTGATTTTATTATTTGTTTTGAGAGGTAGAACATGAAAATCATCCCGTTTTTTAAGTTTAATTAATAACTTTTTGGACCATGATAAAGAACAAAGCCTTGTATTTCAAGTTTATTTCTTCAATTTTAAAACAAAAATCAAATATCCACTCGTATTTTGTTTTTTTAATATCATTTTGTGAAAAGAAAATCCAATCACCAAAACATACACTGGCCCACCACATCATGTCCCTGCATCATCCGCGTTTAGGAGCATTCTGGTGTTAATACTGCAGGTGGGCGGGGCTCTACATCCGGGGACCGCCGCTAACCCCTGACGTGACCCTGCAGGATTGCAAACATGGCGGAGGTAAGAAAGTGAAATAAATATTCGGGGGAAATAAATGTATCCTGCAAAATAGTCGGTTCGGTCGAACGTGTTCATAGTTTGCGTGATGTAGCTTTAATACACGAAATTAAGAAGCACATGTTTACGTTGCTATATTTTGCCAATTTCTTCACAGAATGATGTTTAGTAAACTTCGGATGTAGCTAACGTTAGCTGCGCTAGCCTGAAGGTAGCTGCGGCATTAGCGATGTTACTTCTCGGTTTTGTTTAAGAATACTGAACTATACACTTTAACGCTTTTAATTAGATATGTAGCAGCAGCTTGGTGTTTGGAGGTGTTTTATGTATCTTTTCCCGGTCACTATTCACAGGCAGTTGATGCCAAGCGTAAGTTGGACGCGTTAGCTTAACGTTTGAAGGAGATTTAGCTTTCTATTTGTATGTGAGTTAGCCAGTAAGTACATTAACACAGTAAGTGCCGGTCTGTTAAGCTAACTGTGGTTGAATGCAGGCGATAAGCACCACTGTACCTGGTTTAATATCGAGATGCTTTGGAAGTGGTGACAGTTTTCTTTGTTTCTTTTCTCAGTGAACTGCATTCGGGGCACAGGGTCGAGCGCGCTTTTTCTTTACTCACATCTGGCTCTGTGTGTCAGAGTAACTTGCTCCAGTTATCAACAGCACTAAGCCCTGTGCAATTGTAATGTTATAGGAACACGTAAGATATTTTGAAGCTGTCTTTTAACTTTATTTATGTTTTTGTTTTCCAGCCCTCCCTCGGGAATTCGAGCCCAGGTACATAACGTTGGAGCCTTTTTGTTGTTGTTGTTGTTAGCGTGCACCTAATAGTACGTGTTCAATAGGATTCTTAAAAAATAAAATGTTGGTCAAACTCAGAATTAGAACTTGCCATTATCCAAAATTAATTGATTGTTGAAGAATTAATGAGCTCTGTAATATCATTAATTTATTATTTATGTATGTTATTAACGACTTCTAAAAATAGGTTGATTATTATTTTTTGTTGCCAAAATTGTTTATAAACAATGATAAAACACATTTAAAATCATGATTGTTGAAACAAATAATCTTATTTTGCAAACCTATGTTAATATTTCACAATATGCATACTACCAAATAAATGGTCATAGTGTGTATACCCTGCATCAGTTTTCTAAGGTTCTTACGAATGGCTTATTTTCCCCTGGATTATGATGAAACGTGCATTGAATATCAGAAAGAAACTATAGACAATTTGCAATATGTGTATATGTAAATATCTGTTGCTGAATGTTTACAGTTATCAAATAAGAAAATGAATATTTCCAGTAGCTTATTGCATGCAAAGATTTCATCTGTATTCACAACCCTATGCCTTAACACATCTGTTATATACATATACATATATTCAAACTAAATAAACAGTGATACTACAAGTAAATGTCCAATTCAGTCACCTTTTGCAATATTGCTTTCATTTTTGTGTTTCCTTGTGTAGGAGGCTCAGCAGTCGCCGCTGACCATGATTTCGACCCATCAGCAGACATGCTCGTCCATGACTTTGATGATGAACGCACCCTGGAGGAAGAAGAATCGATGGAGACGTCAGATGAGACCAACACCAACGAGATCGAGGATCTTGCACGCGTGAGTTTCAGGCTCCACTTGTATTCGTTTTTTTCAGCCCTGTCCGAAAAACAATAAAATGCTGTGAGGTTCAGTAAGCTCTTGACAATTTAACTTAGCCCCCAATCCTGACATTTCAAGGAGGGCATTTTCTGCTCATTTTCAGGTTCATATTTGTATTTAGTGACTTTAATGTTCAAAAAGCTCTTTATTGTTCTCATACTGCCTGTGCTGCAGCACCTCTTTTCACCCTCTGTCTGAAACCAGAGCCCAGTCTGCTCTGATTGGTTAGCTGGCCGACTCGGTTGTGATTGGTCAAGCACTTTGCAATGTCCCTGACCTAAGTCTATCACGTCAAATGTGTTGTAGCGCTAGCCAATAGAAGCGTGGATGTTACATATTGATGTCACTATGTTATGGAAGTAAACAAATAAGTCCAATAGAGGCGCTTCAGGCCCGGGGTGGGGGGGGAGTGTTTTGGAGAGAAACTCCCTCTGGAGGGAACACAGGGATTTTAGCCTTTTGTAGACCATTTACATGCACTAAAACCTTTATAACACACTACAGGAGAGGAGATAATAGGGCCTCTTTTTATATCCAATCACCACAGTGATTTGTTTACTCATCAAATGATTCGTTGTAACTTTATTTTAATTTACTGTGACTTTAAATGTGACTTTTCTGCCAACAGGAAGGAGACATGCCCATTGATCAGCTGCTGAGTCTCTATGGTTATGGGGGCGGCTCGCCCGCAGATGAAGAAGATGATGATGACGAAGACGAAGAGCTTGAGGAGGAAGATGACGATGACGAAGAGGATGAGGAAGAAGACCTAGACAACGATGAAAGCAGTAGAAGCACCGGCGAGTTAAAAAGAAATGAAGTAAGTCTGTTTGTCTTGAGCATCTTTTCAATGATATCATTCCCATACATTTTAAATATTTAGTTGTGTTGACTGTTTTTGTATTTTCAGCATTGTTGGCAACTAGATGTGTATGTTTTTACAGGGTGATGGAGGTAAGATGTCATCGGGACAGGGGGATGAGTCCCAGATAACATCTGAAGTCCGCACGCGACCAGTCAGGACGCTGGGCACAGCAGAACTCATTCGACCCCAGAAACTGAAATATTTTGAAAGTACGTGCCATCTTCATCGTCTTCTCTTCATCTTTTTCTTTCTTTCTTTGGTTGAGATTTAGCTGGTTAAACGGATATCACATTGTGCCTCAGGTAATAATGATGCAGAGGATGAGTCAGATGAAGATGAGGACTATGTTCCATCGGAAGACTGGAAAAAGGTATGTGAGATGTTTTTATTTTTCAGAGTGGGATACAGGTTCAATTACGGCTTAATTTAAACTACACTAAAAAAAAGATATATACCGGATAAGAAAGATGGTTTAATTAAGTAAAATAGCAAATACCATGATCTCAAAATACTCCATTTCAAGTAAACGTCCTGAGTTGAAAATGTTAAGTTATTACGTTTTCTAAGCTCAATGTGCTTCAAGTATCACATGTTAATGTTCTCAGTAGGCACAATGACTCTTTAGAAGATTATTATATTATACGGTTTTTTTAACCGTATAATTAAATATGTGGGAGCATTACAAATGTGTTGTTTTTCAATGTGAGGCCAATTTACTAACGATTTCCCTCTGGAGGGAACTTTGGGATTTACATGCACAAAAACCTTTAAAACACACGACAGGAAAGGGAAAACTCCACTAAGCAGAAATACTAATTAACTTCTGAAACAGAGTATACTTTTCCGGTTATATTTGTAGTAAATGATGAAGTAATTGTCAGCCTGTCTAATATGTGTTTATTCCCAACAGGAGATCATGGTGGGTTCCATGTATCAGGCAGAAACTCCTGTTGGCCTGTCTAAATACAAAGACAATGAAAAAGGTAAACTTGATGTTTGTTATCAACATCTGCAGTCTCTCTTGGGTCTAAAAGAACTGTATTGCATTGACAACTTTCCATAAATTCACCCTCCAGTTTATGAAAACGATGACCAGATGCTGTGGAACCCAGAGTGTCTTCCTGAAGGCGAAGTGGTGGAGTTCTTGACAGAGGCGTCGCGGCGGACAGGAGAGGAGAAGGGAGTGGACGCCATCCCAGAGGGAAGCCACATCAAAGACAACGAACAGGTGATACATCTGAAGCATGTGACAAAGTCTATATCTGTCTTTCTTTGAACAAATCCCATGAAAAGACCAAAACTGTAAAACTGCAAAGTCATCATGCTATTGTCTGTATATTCAAAACGTGATATATGTTATTTATAGAGCTGACACCTTTTGGTTGGTTTATCGATATGCTCTTGTTCCTCCAAATTCTCTCTTGTCTTTTTTCATGTGCTGTGTAAGAGAGTCTTCCTTTACTTTTACACAGCAGCACAATTTAGAAGTGCTCACTCATTTTAAGCCTCTCTCTTTTTTGTCTGTGAGAAGTAAAGTGTGTTAGAACAAATCCTTTTCAGAATGAGAACTAACGGTTAATAACTTTGATCCGTGTCTCAAACTATATGATATATATATATATTATGTTGGGTTCTTGAATTTGTGAGAATTTGGCCTGGAAAGTCTTTGAATTAGCTATTTTAAGAAGGTGTTAATACCCTGACATACAGAGAGGCCGTTTCTCAATGTCGAGTATACCTGCTGCAGAGCCACTACTTCAAGTATACTACGTCATCGAGTGGCGCCGAATGCTGGGCATTTAAACAGTCCTTCGGCGCCACTCGATGACGTAGTATACTTGAAAACGGTTGTATCCGCTACTTTTCTCTTTCGTATAGCCCGTTCATTCACACAAGGTCGTAACGGAAACGGACCCCTAAAACGATAACGGGTCTCAAGGTGGATAGATCTGCGGACGGAAAGCTCTGGGGGGCCAAACGGCTCCCTGTGTACGTCCTATACGATAATTTTCCTATGGCTACTGCTACTGACCATGCTATAGATGCTGGTGCAACACCTACAGCTCCTCTACCACAACCATCAGCCTCAAGTGGACATGGAGAATTACATGAACTACATGTTGCCAAATCCACCGCGAAGAATAAACAGAAGGGCAACCATGCAACCATGCTCGGGGGTCTTCTTCGCTGCTTTTGGTGTAATTTGTGGCAGAAGTACAGCGCCACTTACAGGCCCTGCATATGTACTACAGCGTCTCCAGCGCTTTCGAGCGGTCTCGTGTGAACGGAAGACTTTTTTGATATCGTATTCGGTTCGTTTTCGTTTTTGCGTTCCCGTGTAAATGGGGTCTCAGTGTCTCTTCTTCTAGTTCTCAGTCCTGGCAATGGCTTCTTTAATGCATAACATTACATGTATTATGTGGGTTGGATTCAGTTGGATTTTAACATTTTGGGCACTTTGGATTGGCTCTCTTTATTGGTCGGTTGGGTGCTGGTGTTAAAACAGCTTGATATGCTCTGAGTGTGATCATATCAGATTTGGCATATCTAGTCAACAGCCTAACTTTTTTTGTTGAAATGTAGCTACTTGCTCATCCCCTCGACAGCTTCAACATTTTTGGAAATCATGAATGGACCATTCATGATCCGTGCATGCTGTTCACCTATGAGACTGTTGTTATCATTTCAGTATTGCATCATTTGGTAGAAAATGATTTAATATGTTGCTAAAAAAGCAGTTTGATGTCTATTTATAATTCATGTCGGCATCCAGGTAGAGTGTGGTTGATTTTGTAAATCAGAGATATCCTCACCACATTGGATAGTTTAAGAGTAGATACAATTTATAGGGCTGCTCGATTATGGCAAAAATAATAATAATAATAATCTCGATTATTTGGGTCAATAATTGATATCACGATTATTAAAAACCATTATCCATTTACTTTGAAAACATCCATTTATTGAAAGAAAAAAAATGTTGATGTTTTTAACAGTTGATTACCCTGAACTTTAAGTATAATTCAACTGAAAAACCAAAAAAAATGTTTTTAAATAAATAATTGTTTTATTTCGATTATGTTGTTTTCATAATCGTTGCACGCCAAAATCGTAATTGCGATTAAAATATGATTAATTGAGCAGCCCTAACAATTTATATACATCATTTCCTTTGGATGACTACACGCTACTTATTTATCTTCGACATAGATCTTCATTGTTGTCCAGAAACACATCAGTGAGCTTCTGCACTCGTTCATGCCCAATGAAGTTTATGAAATATTTTATTTGTATTTTCCATATGAGTCATGTTGGCTAAAGACTCCTTGCCTAGCTGCTGTAATGATGTACTAAGCCTATACAAAAGGAACACTTTAAAGATTTACACCTGGAGTAGGAAAGAATGTGCTCGGGGCTACGGACAGTGTTGAGAGACTGACTAATATGTTGTTGGTCTTTTCATGGGTTTGTTTCCTGATAAGAAAACTGTCACACAACATTTAAGACGTCTTACATGTCTTTTGCTCTTTGCATGGCTAACGTTAGCTTGTTTGTTTCCCTGCAGGCGTTGTATGAACTAGTGAAATGTGACTTTGACACAGAGGAAGCTTTAAGAAGACTACGGTTTAATGTAAAAGCAGCCAGAGGTAAGTACACTATCACGCCTCAATGTCATTCACATATTGAGCTTCACTCTTCTCTCATGCAACATGGTTCCTTGGTTGGTAGACCACTACAGTATACAACCCCTGAACCAACACAACTACAAAGAGACACAAAATGACCGCAGAGAGACACGACTACAGAGAAATCCTACCAAAAGACACCAAATAACTACAACAAAACACAAATGTTTGCCCTCTCTGGAACACACCTCCACCTCCCGCTGCCGCAACAGAGCTAACAAAATAATAAAGCACATCTCTCACCCAGGTCACAGACTGTTCTCTCTCCTGCCTTCTGGGAGGAGATACAGGAGCGTCAAGTCACGGACAAACAGACTCAAAAACAGTTTCTACCCCTGGGCCGTCAGGCTGCTCAACCACCACACATAATGCAATAACTGTAACCATTCTCACACATACACACACTTTTAATGCACTTTATATACTATTTTTATATCAATATTTTTAACTATTTATTCCCCCGTATGATTGTTTATGTTGTCTGTCCTATTGCCGTGTTTTTTAGTGTTATGTATGTGTTTGTATTTTTTGCACACCGGGACAGAGTTGCACTCTGAATCTCGTTATACTCTGTGTATAATGACAATAAAAGGCTTTAACTTTTTTTTAATGACGACAAAAAGACTTCAAAGTACTACAAAGAGACACAAAAGAACTGCAGAGACCCATAATGTCCCACAAAGAGATCTAAAATGACTTGAAAGGGCCCCTGTGTGCTGTTCCTGGATCAAATGGAACTTTCAGCCGCTAAAGAACTTTGTGTTTAAACTGTTAACATGCATCAACATATCTGCAAGTCAAAGATGAAAACTAACCATCCTCATTTTGCAGAGAAACTGAGGATTAACTCTGTTTTTTTCTGTAACAGAAGAGCTATCTGTCTGGACTGAAGAGGAATGTAGAAACTTTGAACAAGGATTAAAAGCTTACGGCAAAGACTTTCATTTAGTACAGGCCAACAAGGTAAGAAGTGTTTAAAAAGCACCTTAATGAACCATTTCTGTTTTCAATCTGTCATATGTTTGTTGATGTGTTTGCTGTGTCTGTGTCATGCTCAGGGTTGGAATCAACCTTGCTGCATTTTGAGACAAATCAAATGTGTATTTAGTGTCCGTACATCATTTGTCATCGTCCAAAGCAATCATTTGATTTGTCTCTTCTCTGAAATTGTACTGACATATCTCTTCAGACGATGGTAATAATTATTATTTCATGTCTGCTGAATTAAATCTTTCAGGTGAGAACTAGGTCTGTAGGAGAATGTGTGGCCTTTTATTACATGTGGAAGAAGTCTGAGCGTTATGATTTCTTTGCACAGCAAACCAGACTTGGAAAAAGGAAATACAACCTTCACCCCGGTGTCACGTAAGTTTAAAACTTATATATATATATATATATATATATATATATATATATATATATATATATACAGCTGTGGGTCAATTCTGAATGTAATCGTGGTTTCCTGTTTCAGGTTGATGTGTTTGGTCCTGTTGGTTGTTGTCTAATATTGCAGTATTATGAAAAAAAGTGAAATGTTTGTTAACCTTTATTTATCCATGTCGGGAAAAACAGATTTGTATACAAAAATAGAAAAAGTTCTATAGTAACTAACTAAGATCTATTTACATGTGAGTGTGCAGTGCAGATTTGATGTATGTACAGTATGGGTTACTTTAAATGGGTTACATGGTTAGCTCTTGATCGTGCAGCAAAAATAAGTCAGTTGGTGGTTGGTTCTTTATGCAGACACAATTTAGACATAAAAAGGGATTAGAAAGAGACACAAAATGACAATGAAAATGGGCACAAAAAAACAAATAGAAAAAAAAACGGATAGAAAAGGCATATTCCCCCCCCCCCCCCCCGTATTCTGGGTGTGAGTTGCAGAGTGTAGGAGATATCAGCCGTAAAGATTACTGCCTTCTCTCCCGTATGATCTTCAAATGTTTTACATTTTCTTTTTTTACTTGTATTAAACATAGAATAGTGAGGACTGGGACAAAAAGCACAAATACTTTTTTAAGATCCTTGGCGTTTATAAAAAGCTTGTATTAGCCAAAATGTAGAGCAATGTCCTCTCTTCGCTCACCATTTCAACACGCTTAAAGGTGGGGTAGGTAAGTTTGAGAAACCGGCTCGAGATACACTTTTTGTTATATTCCATGGAATGCTCTTAACATCCCGATAGCAATGAATATCTGAAGTGCTTTGACAATAAATCCATAAAAAACGTCATCCGTGGAAGCAGTAGCGCTGTAAAAAGCACGACCAATCATCTGAGCCGGCCCGGCTAAAATAACTGGATGGCCTACCTGCCTGTCAGCCTTCCATCTGTGCACAAACTTATCTCGTGCCCTCATTGGTCATGTGCGCGTTAGTGTGTGTTGGAGGAGGGGCTCTGGAAGGAAGTGGCAGATTTGTTCCGGCTGTGTATTTTCAAATTCTAGCGCACTCCAGCTGGTTTCTCCAAAATGACCTACCCCACCTTTAAACAAAGGTCCTCTCTGACCCACATAACTTCTTTAAAAATAAACAAATCCTCGCCCGCTTACTCGAGGTAATCCACAGACTTTGTTCTGATCATTTACATTTAGGAACTGTTTTTCTTTCTACCTCGAAATCTACTCATAGATGAGATGCAGATATTAATACTAATGCCGGCCTCAGCTGAGCTACAGCATCAAAATGCAGGTGGACACTAGGGGACGCACTCCGTATGTTTTACCCAATTCCAGTTAAAGATGAATAACCTGCAATCACTGACAGACCAGCACAGCCTGCCTGTGTTTGAAACCACATCTGGAGTTGACGTTGTGTGTGCCGCTGTGTGTCCTCAGAGACTACATGGACAGGTTACTGGACGAGACGGAGAGCGCCACGTCCAGCAGGGCGGCGTCGCCCCCCCCCACCACCTCCAGCAGCAGCGCCAGCCACTCGGAGAGGGAGGACAGCAGTAGCCAGAACGGTGAGCTGACCAACACACCGTGCTGATAGAAGAGCACACAACATTTTTTATGCATGATATACTTTCGTTATTATTATTATTATTCCATTTCATGTTTATTTTCCCCTGCTCCTAATGTACTCTCTCTTCTCACGATCCTCCCCTCAGGCTTTAACTCATTGTTGCTTTGCTTTTTAGAAATGAATGTACTTTTTCTTTTATGAATGAAGGGGGATCTTTTGGAAGATGATTCCCATTAACTGTGACAAAAGAGCTGTTAAGTGATTGCCTTGTCTTTTAAGCATATTTAGATCATTATCGGGATAATACTGGGATCACACATTTTTCAGGTTTAAAAAATACTGTTGGGTTTTTGACAGTGGAAACAATTTGAATTGTATTTGTGGTTCTTCAATCATTGACAAATCAAACCATTGAATCATCTCAAGTCACTCACCTTTCATTTGTCTTTGTCAGGTATCGGCAGCCACAATTCTGTCCACCCTGTAGACGGCGCTCAGCTCCTCCCGGTGAATCAAGTCAAACCAGAGCCCGTTCAGTCCAACGGCCCCTCACACTCGGCAGCGGAGGCTCCCCCTCCTCCCATTTCAGACAGCAACTCCAACGGCTGCAGCCAACCCAGCGCGCCCAGCCACGACCAAAACGGCTCCCTGGAGCCCCCGCTGGACCACCGAGACCCGGCAGCAGCAGCAGCAGCGCAGGAACGGCCGGCCAAGAGGTGCAGAACGGAGGCGGAGGCGCTGGGCCAGAGTGAGGTGGAGCCTTCCAGAACACAGGAGAACTGAAGGAGCGCTGTGACGTAGACTTACAGACGCTGAAATGTGAGGTGGAGGCCGGCTTAGAGAAAAGACTCACAACACAGCCAACCAAACTGCAGTTGGTCCTCCGCCCCCCCACCCTCCATGTACTGACCGCCTGCAGAGCTCATCCCAAAGCACCACACATCCACCATGTCCTAGAAAATACCATCTCCCACCCATCGTCACTTTTTTGGAGACAAAGATTTGCCAAGAATTTCCTTTTTTTCCCTATTTGTACTCAAAGAAAAATAAATCACCTGTGATATTTTTTTACACAAGAGATATTTCTATTTTTTAACAAAAGACAACTATGATAGGTAAATGCTGTTCGAGCTATTTGATGAGACGGAGCACACCTTTTTAAACAGTTCTGTGCTTAAGTTGTAGGAAAAAGGAGATGAGTAAGTAAGGCCGAGAGCGGTCTCTTTAGTTGCACTTTGATTGTATGTTCCTCGTCTTCATCAATGAAGAGCGGCGTTGAAACCCAGCAGAATTACATTTTCACTCCTCTTCTGAAGCCTCTGTCGCGGTGGGACTGATAAATAAGCCGATGGGGGGGTTTGTTTGTGTAAAGCAGCTGACATCAGTGATGTCCTGTATTATAAGTCATCCTGTTAGAAGATCGCTGTATTTTTGGATTTTCATAGTCAGTGCTTCGCTTTGTTTTTACTAGACAGAATGTCCGTGATTTTTTATGTAAAGTTTGTATAGATTTCTTACCTTGAGCAGTTGGTACATTTTTTATAACTGTCTGTTCATCTCCTTTGTTCCGGTCTCCCATGAAGAGAAGTATTTCGCTCTGAGATGGATGTAATAAAAACAGGAGCCATTCCTCTTTCCCTCTCTGTTTGGCAGCACTTCCCATTCCTGTGTGATTTGAATTTGTGTTGCATTTGTGTGCATAAAAAAAGCCCCACATTGAGGTTGATTACGCTACTTACTCAAGTGCTTATTTTGCGACAATATTTTCTCAGTAAGAGGCTTCAGAGCAGAGAAACACCGGTTGACCTGAGCTTGTTTTGGTACAGTAGCTGTTCAGATTGATGCTTCTGTGTTTTACTTTTTCTCCAGCTTACATTCACAAATTGAAATACGTTTGTCTCCAACAATGTTGATCCATGTCTTTTCTTTCCCTTTGTTGACAATGATGGGGTTTTTTTCTCTGTAAATTATGACATTAATAAAAATGAAGTGTATTTCAAGAGTGGCTATGAATGGAATAACATCGGCTATATTTAATAAATGTATTAATGAGTCCGAGTTGTACTGTGAGTTTTCAAACGGCACTTTAGACAAAACAAATGCAACACTTCACGAATCAATTCAAATCCTTTTCTAACATCACAGTTGAATTGTAGGCTACCATCAAAGTATCAAAACAAGATGAAGATTTGTTTTGCAGTTCAAGAATACAACACAAGGAAAAAATAATGTGAAGAATATTTATTTGTGTAATTCAATTTAAGTTTTATAAAATAAAAAATGAAAGCACTGTCATTAGCAAATATACTGAAAGTTCCACTTTATTCCTGAAATAAAAACTAATACAAATATGAATCCAATGAACCCCCGCCTGAGGTAAGCCCATAGGGCAGTGGTTCTCAAAGTGGGGGGCGCAGAGGCATGACAGGGGGGGGCGCGAGAGACCAGGAGGAAAAATGGTTATAAAAAAAAAAAAAATCATATTTCGAAAAATTATTGAATCGAAAATAATATGATACAGTACAGTACTATTACGTCTGGGTCTCTGTGTTTCATTAAAGCTCGGCTCTGTGTGTGTGTGGGACGAGCCATTTTGTGTGTGTGCGCGAGCGAGAGAGAGAGCGCACCGGTACCGGAGATCGTTGATGTTAGCTTCTGGTGCTAGCGAGCTACGCTAACAACAAAGTGGAGGAGAGTCCTCTCCTGTCAGACTGAGAGACTCAGTGAGCTAAAGGACTCTCTGTGTTATCTCAGTGGGTCTCAAACGTTTTGGTCACCATTCATGTAAACAATTATTTCCGAGGCACACGTTTATATGATCATTATAGTTATAAAGTGTAAAAGGGGAGTGATTTGTAAAATATCCATAAAGAAATAGTAAATCTGTTTACAGTTCTGTGTTGAGAGATGTATCCATCTCTTCATTTTGCTCTCAAAGTGCACCAGATTGATGCTTTTAACTTCAATATTTAAAAATAAATCTTCCCGGGGGAGCTTGCCCCCGGACCCCCTTATGTGAGGTCTACACACCACCTATAAAAATAGCACTTTACCCCTGCTTACACCTCAGTGTTTCCCACAAATCTGAAATATACTTGGGGGGGTGGTGGTAGCGGGGGGTTGAGGTGACGTGACGTGCAACAACATTAACATTAACCTTTCTATTGGTCGCTTGTTAGCAGACCCTTCACGCGATGGCAGAGCGAACAGGTACAGGCAGGGTCCATAATGATAGCCCTATAGTTTAAATCTACTACCCACACATGAACATATGGAAATGGGTTACTATTTAAAAAGATAAATGTATTTATAAATGTATTTAGGAACCTATCCATGTGATTTTTAGTGGGGGTCGACCTCAAATCCTCTAGGGGGGTCCAGGGGCATGCCCCCCCGGTAAGATTTTATTTTTTATTTTGGAGTTAAATGCATCAATCTGGTGCATTTTGAGGGGGAAATAAAGAGACTAGATCTATGGAAACACCTATATTAAACAGAACTGTATACATTTCAATAATCATAAAATCAAGGCCATAACCAATAACATACCATTTCCAATATGAAAAAAACACTGAAACTTGTTTATTAATTTAGTTTTGGTTAATTTATAGTTGTGAGTGTGTCTGTGCTCCTGAATCAGCCTCTCCTGTCTCCCTCCTCTCCCCCCTCTCCATCCTCTCCCCCTGCTCCTCTTTGAGGCAGCAGCAAAGACTAGTTTTCTCTCAACAAGTTTTAAAAGTGTATCTTACCTTTTTTCACCTAGTTAACTTTTTATTTATTTATTCATGCATATTTTACTAATCACATTACATTTCATTTAGCTGACGCTTTTATCCAAAGCGACTTATAATGACCGATTACAGGGACATTCTCTCTGGAGTAACTAAGGGCTAAGTGCCTTACTCAAGGGCACACTAGTGGTGGTGTTCCTGGCGGGATTTGAACTCACAGCCTTCCGATCTTCAGCCCACCTCACTATCCATTAGACCAATCACTACCCTCTCAAATGGAAATATGTGTTTACATGATGAGGTGACCACACCTTTTGAGACCCACTGAGAACTTAGACTAAGTTAACTATCTAAACACTCAGAGAGTCCTTTACCTCACCTGAGCTGAGGTTATCCCGAGCTTGAATGACACACAGAGACCAATCAAGGGCTTTGATGTGATCATGTCGGCAGGCCACATCATGTGGACAGCCAGTCACCCTGTGTGAGGCAGGCCACTTAACAGGCCAGACGGAGGCGAGATCAGAGCAAGGGAGCGAGGGATCATTGTCCACAAGTTAATCGATCGCAGATGGCGTCGTGGTCACGGACAAATAAAAATAAAAACCTAAATGGGTCGCGAAATATACTTGGGCGGCCGTTAATATACCTGGGCGGCCCGCCCAAGTATAGTCTATGTGGGAAACCCTGCACCATATGCCGTGAGCTGATTATCGAGCCTTCATTGTAACCAGTGGTGTAGTGGGGATTTTTTTACTGGGGGGACGCTATTTTAATTAGGTCATCCCAAACAATGCCACACAAGTGCGCATGCGAGCAGTGCACTCACAAAACGGGCAGACAGGTCCACAGAAACTACCGGTATGCTTAGTCCTACTTTAGTTACTGTACTGCAAAAAGCAGACGGCGCTGCGCTCAACACACACACAGACTCAAAACCATGGACACACTGGCACATAAGTTACATAAACAATTTATAGGCCTAAATTGCATAAGCTACAGTATTGCAACTAAGCAGAATAAACAAAACGAAAAATATAGCCATACTTATGCAAACAACATTGAATCTGGACTTGACATTATTCTGATTAGGCCTAGCCTACATTGCAAATAAGCAGACAGCGCTGCTTTTCACACACACACACACACACACACACACACACACACACACACACACACACACACACACACACACACACACACACACACACACACACACACACACACACACACACACACACACACACACACACACACACCTTGGGTTTTGAAGACTGATAAATCCGTAATGGATGAACACACTTTGCAGCCCAGTTTCCCAGCTTTGCAGTCAATCCACGGGTATGCCTCTTGTTTTCTCCGCCACATCTCCTCCGTCCATACCTCTGGGAAAGGTGAGCTTGAGCTAGCCAGGGGAACGTTGCTAGCGCAGCTAACGCGCACGTTAGCTAGCATTATCCACGTCTTTAGGCGGCTCTTCTGATGATGTATTACTAGCAGCTTCACTTGTAGCTTCGGTGCTGCTAGCCTCTTTCTTCTTGTGAATTATATTCTTTTTAGAAAATAAGTCAAGTAAAACATGTTAGCCTGCCATTATAGAGCTGTTTCGTTAGCGTTCTTGAGGGAAAGAGCTGCCGCAAAATCGGCGGACGTGGCGAGCTGGCTCACCGTGGGTGTGTCAGTGACTATGGTCAGTGACCGCGGGGTCAGTATGAATCATACTTTTTTAAGGAAAATAGTTTTTATTTTTTATTTTAATTACTGTGAAATGTATTATGTTTTCGTCATTATTACAACAAATACACACTTGCAACTGATAACACTGGCAATGATTTTATATTTATTAGACTTGAAAAAAAGATCATGCTCCAAATAAGTGGGGGTACGGCATACCCCCGCGTCCAACGCCCACTACACCACTGATTGTAACAGTCGCGGGTACATTGTGTATATGCGTGGCCCACCCAGTTTACTCATTGGCCCACCCTGAGAAAGCTTCGGTGTGATTTAAAAAAACATTTTATTTTTTATTTTTATTTTTTTTAATTATTATTATAAAAAAAAAAGTATTCACCCATTGAGAATATCCAAGAATTTAAAGTGAAATTCAAGTGAACAAATATCGAGTTTAATTAATGTTGTATGTGTTATCCTCTGAACCAAACTCATTGACGGTAAAAACTGATTGTTGGTTCCGGGCGCGCCATAATAACGTGAGAGAGGCAGAGAGCTGCCTGCAAAATAAATGATGGCTCAAAGTTCACTAATGAACTTTGGTTTAAAAAAAAGCTAGACTCCAAGAAGAGCCCCAAGAAGAGCCCCCACTGCCCTCATCTAGCAGCGATCTATACGATACGATACGATCATTTTCTGATGACGATGAAATAGTTTTATGTGTGGTGCAGATGAGAGAGCTGTCCAGAATGACACCAAGATGTTGTGTTTGTGCTCTTGATAAGCCATTCAAACAGTAAAATACGTGTCTCCTGTTCACCAAAACATACCCATCTGTTATGGAAAAAGAAAGTATTCTAAAAGTAATCTGCCACCGGTAGGCTACCGGCGGGGATCGTTGTTAGCTTCTGATGCGCAGAAGAAAAATCTGGCCCACCCTATTTTTTACAGGCCCACCCTAAAGTACATTTCTGCCTACACTACTGGTAACATGACGTAACATAAAGTCTCTCCACAGCATATTCCTTCTCCCATACACCCAGACCCCTGGCAGAGGAGGTGGCACTGGTCTCCTTGGTTGCATTCGGATAGTTTAAAAATCAGCTCCTAAATTCTAACCCTATCTCCTATTCCTTGACCTCTAAGTGAAACGTCATGGGGTTAAGGGATAGTGGATAGGAGAATTCAAACGGACTTAGGAGAAGAGACTGTGGTACTTTAGAGAATCCGAATGCACTTTCACTATCCGACGTGTTTATGATGCGCCAGCGGACGTCATTGTGTGCGTCTGCTGCTGTGGGGAAACTATGGAAACTACAGTTCTCATTCATAACACTCCGTTCGATGTCTCACTATGGGATGCGCCTCAACGCGTATGCAAACAGAAGCATCAATCTCATTACGCCAATCCTGATTGGCTGGTGATCTTGACGTCTACGTCAGGGAATCCACCCACCCTTTAAGTAGCTTGCGCTACGTCGCAGCGTCATTCAAACACCTCTTCTCGCTTCAGAGCACATCTCGAATATCAGTAGCCGGGCTAGCTTAACGGTCCACAGACTGAACCCAAGCTAACATTCGGTCGACGGGCGCTTGCCGGTTACTTTTTTGCTTTGCAGAAGATTTGAACAAATATTAACACACCAGTT